ATAGACGTTTTGGGAAAAAGTGTAGAGATGACAAATGTACAAAACCTTGTTCATGGCAGGGAACGACCCAAAAAGCAAAGAATAGAGGCGACTTATTCTTTGCCTCAAGTTTCACGTCGCCTGTTCGTTCGTGACCGTAGAACAAACCTTTCATTTTTGGTCGATACCGGCTCTGACGTGTCCTTACTTCCAGCAAATAATTCTCAAAAACGGAATTCGTCCCAACAAACACTTTTCGCTGCTAATTCTTCTACTATTCATGTTTATGGTCAAAAAACACTTTCTTTGGATTTCAAATTAAGACGACAGTTTACATGGACTTTTCTTATAGCAAATGTTCGTACACCCATTCTTGGAGCAGATTTTCTCCATTTCTTTGAATTGGGGCATGATCTCAGAAACAAATGTCTCAAAGATTTAAAAACGCATTTTAAAACCGTCGGTTGCGTGAAAAATGCAAGCATTTATTCAGTAAAAACTGTATTTAATGATACACCATATCACAAAATTTTAAAAGAATTTCCTTCAGTTACTAGATTACCAGATCCTAACCAACCTGTTAAACACAAACACCGTTCATTATATCATAACTAAAGGTCCACCTGTGGTTGCAAAACCTCGTCGGTTAGCTCCAGATCGCTTAAAAATAGCAAAAACAAGAATTTCAAAACTATGATGCAATTGGGGCATTTGAGACCCTTCGAGCAGCAATTATGCATCCCCCCACTTCACATGGTTCCAAAAAAGGGAAGTCTGGAATGGAGACCTGTAGGACATTATCGAGCACTGAACGCTCAAACAATAAAAGACAAATACCCTATTCCCATGTTTAGCCGATTTTACTGCTGCATTGCACGGTACTAAAATTTTAGTCATGTCGACCTGATTAAGGCATACCATCAAATACCAATTAACCCAGCCGAATCCACAAAACCGCATATGCACACCATTCGGTTTATTCGAAAGTATCCGTATGCAATTCGGCTTATGCAATGCATCTGCGACTTTTCAACGTTTTATGATGAAGTCACGCGGGATTTAGAAGGCGTTTACGCTTTTGTCGATGACTGTCATAGCCTCTAAAGATCTGAGGAACATTGCAGGCATTTGAAAGCTTTATTTTCCAAACTTCAGGAATATGGACTTTGCATAAAATGTTTCAAAATGCACCTTTGGTCAAACATCTATTGATTTCTTAGGTTTTCACCTTAGTGAAAACGGAATTGAACCTCTTCCTGACAAAGTCAAATGTATTTTAGATTTTCCTCAACCTACCACTCTCACAGCGCTTCGCCGATTTTTAGGCATGTTAACTTTTATAGATGTTTCATACCTAAAGCAGCACATATTCTTTCTCCTTTAATAAAATTGTTAGAAGGCTATATAATTAAAAAAGAAATCTCGTTCTCGTGTTCAGGATTCATCCCCACAATTAAATTGGAACGAGAATGCTGAACAAGCCTTTATTGCTGCCAAAAATGCCATTGCTCAGGCTACCCTTTTGAGACACCCTATTCCCGGAGCCCAGCTAAGCATCTGGGTAGATGCCTCAGACGTCGCAATCGGCGGCACAACTTATGCAGTTGTCTCAACAAACATGGGAACCCTATAGCATTTTTCTCTATGAAACTCAGTAAAAGTCAACAGAAATGGTAATCGCGTACGAATAGGGAATTATTTTCTAATTCATTCTGCAAATTAAGAAATTCCGACACATGTTAGAGGGCAGAAATTTTATAATTATACGGATCAAAAACCATTAATATATGCTTTTAAACAGAACCCTCATAAATGTTCACCTCGACAATTGCGACATTTAGATTTTATTTCTCAGTACTCTACTGATATTAGGCATATGCAAGGTTCAAGAAAAATGTCGTTGCTGATGCTCTTTCAAGAATCGAAATTGATTCCATAACAAAATCCCATTTTTGGATTTTAAAAAATTTTCGGAAGCTCAACGGCATGATCCGGAGGTACAAGACCTTCTCAAAAACAACACATCATCTTTGGAAACTGGAATTTAAACCGTGCCAATATTCTGATGGTAATATTCTTTGTGACATATCAACAGACATTCCTCGTCCATTTGTTCCGAATTCCTTTCGCAGACTCATCTTTAATCATCTGCATAATCTGTCACATCCAGGATTTGCAGCTACTACGAAGCTTATTTGTTCTCGTTATGTATGGCCCGATATGAAACGTCATATCAAAAATTGGGTGAAATCCTGTGAATCTTGCCAAAAATCGAAAATTACTAGGCATACTAAAGCACCACTGGGCACATTCTCTCTTCCTGATGCCACGTTTTTCAGAAATCCATATGGATATCGTCGGACCGTTACCTCCATCAGAAGGCAACGTGTACCTTTTGACTCTAATAGATATATTCTCCAGATGGCCTGAAGCCATTCCCATCCCGGATATGAAAACGGAAACCATTTGCAGAGCCATCTTCAACTGTTGGATATCTCGTTTTGGCTGCCCATCGATCATAACAACAGACCAAGGTTCTCAAATGAGATCCGCACTTTTTGCAGAATTTACGAGCATTTTGGGTACGAACAGAATCACAAACAAAAGCCTATATCATCCAATGTCCAACGGCATTGTTGAACGATTTCATCGACATTTAAAATCTTCTCTCAAGGCTCACGAGACCAATAACTGGACTGAAACACTACCAGTTGTTATGCTTGGTATTCGGACAGCCGTAAAGGAAGATCTACAGTCATCTTGTGCTGAACTAGTGTACGGCACAACTCTCAAGCTGCCTAGTGATATGATAACGTCATCTAAGATATCTCCGTGTGACACACAATTTATCACGAATCTTAGGCATAGAATGCAACAATTGAATCCAATAGCAACATCTGCAACATTGCCAAGAAAAAATGTTACGTAAGTGCTACCTTAAAGTCGTGTACGCATGTATACTTACGTGTCGATCGAGTAAAGCCACCTCTGTGCCAACCATACACAGGTCCGCATAAAAGTCCTTTCTAGAAAACGGACAAAACTTTCACAATTGATGTTAACGGTCTGAAATCTACTGTGTCTATAGACCGTGTGAACCAGCCTATTTTGCTTTCGGACTCTAATTTGCCTGAACTGAAAAACAATAAAGACTTAAAGACAGTTCAGCAGAATAAATCTGCAAACGAACTCTCTAAGACACAAACTGTCACCAGATCGGGAAGACATGTTCACTTCCCTAAGAACTTGCTTCTTACATAACAATTTAAAAAACATTTTTTTAAATTCATATCTTAACATATTTCTTGTTATTTCATGTTTATTATATGTGTCAATACCTTGTTATATATTGAATTTTCATTTTGATCTTTTCTAATTTTATATTCTAATTTTGTAATCATGTAAAAATACCCGACAGTTCGGATACTCTGAGATAATTTCATAACCTATGTCGTTCCTTTGAATAGCCATTAAAGGAACTGGGGGGAAACTCTGTGGTGATGGCGATAAGGAGCGCGCCTTGCGCCCTCCGATAAGTGTGGCAACCCTAGAGGAGAAGTTTCTTACGAGTAGCGAGCAGAGCGAAACAGGCAGGCTGTCGGGCAGTGTGCGCGAAGTTCCGAAATAAAGCTTAATTTTTTATTGTGCACTATGTCCTTGTTAATATTTATATTAATGCAGTAAGAACATAATCTGTGATATGGAATTCGAGGATTGGTGGTAAAACATAACAGGAAATCACCATATACATAAAAAAAGAAAATGTGTTCTTCTTTTATATATATATAAGAAATCTTCTTTTATATATATAAGAAAAGGAAAACATTTCACTTTCTAATCTTTTAAAAGTCGCCAACGCTTAAAAAATGATAAACAACGCAAATGTAGTAACTGCCTTAAAAAAAAAAAAAGTCTCACTACATCAGACCTTTAGGCAGTTCGCGTTCTTAGGATTCGTTCTTTTCGATTGCATCCGACAACTCAATGCGCATGCGTGGTTAATGTTGGTGCGAATATCATCGGCCCCTTTATATTACTGAGCATTTAAAATGCGTTGCTATGTGATTATAACATCTTCCTAAATGTATGCATCTTAAAATGTTTTTAGCATAACTTATTGCTGACACCCTCGGACAAGTTACTTTTTGATGGAGGTCCTATCTCCCAATTTGAATACACCAGTAATCCACAGATAGTAATCACTGCTTGCAATCATGCAAGGACGATTCTTGAATACAAGATTTCTAGAAATGCTCCTTTCGGCGAGGAAAATATTTTTCCAGCATAATACTTTCATAATACATATGAAAGAAACTACACAGTGCTAATATAAAGTAAATACTCAGTAAATATCAATAATTCTAGATCATGCAGGTGCATTTAGTGATCAGTTATTTACATTCAATGGTTTGCTAAATGCTGCATGCAGATACAGCTGAGATCCATTAGTTGTCTATAGGACATCATAGTCATGGTAGGCTCATGCATCAAAATAGACATTTGGTGGACGTCTGTTAGTTAACACGTGATTACCAAGACTTGTTCTAAAATAAATTCTCTGTATCCTCCGAAGAAGACTAGACTCACGAACCCATATATATTTTTATTTAATTTCATAGAATACTAATATATGTTAGGAAGTGATTGCATTTTCACCTGAGAGAAAGTTAAAGGCAATATGCTCAAGTAATTGTATTCGTTCAAAAGCATGCTGATAAAGCCTCAGCCGGTTAATACAAGTTCAATTAATAAAGTAATATTTTCAGATAAATAAATATATCTACATTGAATTTTTTATTGCAGAAATCGTGAAGAAATAGGGAATATCTAAAGTAGCCTGTTTGTGCCCAAATTGTGTATTTATCATCATATAAAGTAGCTTTTTCCAAATTAATTTTATTCCTTTGTAATTTGAAACAAAATTCTAAGTTATGCGATGAGGAACGTTATATGTTTTCCTAAATATTTTTTAGTAGCAAGAAATAAGCTCATTCTTAATGAAACAGTGGATTGTGAGTTATTAGAGGCGCTAAAAAAGGTATGAACGAAACCAAGCAACAGGACACGAATACTCAAGAAGATGATCGCGTTTGTTTCGTTGATGATGTTTTGAATAACTGTTTTCACGTGAGGAAAATTGTAAACTTCAAAAATGTAATTCGTACTTTATTTTGTAAGTAAATAATTTATTTTTATCTGATATCGTTCTCAATACTTTATTTTGTATTCCTATGTTTGATCTTGTCAAAATACGCCATGCATGAGGGTGGGGTTTCTAATATAACGTAGAGTTAATCAGGATTTTAGCAGACTACTCTCCATAGCAGTCTTGTATACTTTTGGGGAGTATTAAGTGTGGTGCTATACTAGTGAAAGAAGCATTATTTTATATCAGTGCTCAGAGGCAATTAGGCCGTTATTTTTCGTTCTTTTAGAGTTTGAGAATTAAAAAATATGTTTTTGTATTAGTATTTACTTCATCTATCTATCTGCCTTTTCCGAACTATTGAAAGATTAAGAATTTTTTTTTAATTTCTGCTGATTGTATTATGCTTATTTTTTTTATTTAAATGACGATATCTATGTTTTATGACTATTTTTATTATAAAGGGATCTGAAATTGAATCAAGTTCATGTTTCTGTCAATCATGTTTATTTACTGTTACGGGAAACATGCATATTTGTTACCATTATATTTCTGATGAAGCAATTTTTAATTTTGTCCGAAAGTCTCATTTAAATTTTCGTTAATATATTTAATTCTTTTTTATCCCCCATAAATTTTGAATTCATAAAATTTCACTTCATGCGCCGTATATGCATGTTTCTGGTTTGTGGGAGAGGGGAAAAAAGAGCAGTTCTGTAAATTAAATAAGTATATATTATTATTTATATTATTACCATTTGAAATGTCAGATAATGTTAGATGTGTGAAATACTGAAGCTTTTTTTAAATCTCGTAATTAAAAAAAAAAAAAAAAAAAAAAAGGTTTTAAAAAATTGTCTTTTATTATATAGTTTTCTTAAAACCAAGTTATAAATACACACAATGTATCTGGTTCACTCAGCTTAATTTTTAGTTGGTTGCAAGTTTAAGTGTGCTGTGTATTTACTAGGAACTAGAAATAACATCGGTGATCCTAATCCTCTAGTTAATTTTTTTTTTTTACAAATGCTCTATTTCTTTTCTGTATGTTGTGTAGTAATACTTTTAAGTATTTAAGACAGTTTCATATTGTACATTAAATATATGTAATAGTTAAAAGTAATTTATGTTTGGATTTAGTTTTTAATATGCTGTGCTTGTGCACGTTATAAATGTTCGGATTCAGATACTGCAGTTTTTAATAATTAATTTTTATATTATTGGTGAATTAGGTAATATTTTAAGATGTTTTTGCTTAACATACTTTCAATGCAAAACTACAACAGATTTACTAATCTTTATGCGATTCCCCAAATTCCATATAAAACACCATTAAAATTTAGATTTATAGCTAATGGAACTAATAATTACAAGAAAAATGTAGACTATTATTTTTCAATTCAACTTAATAAAATCTGTAAATTTATTTTCAATGATTGTAACACTAATCATAACTATTGCTGGATCATTCATAATAACACTCCTGTCATTAATACCATTCAAACCCATTAACATCCAAAACATTAACTGCTATGATTTTGAAAACTTATATACCTCACTTCCTCTAGAAGAAATCTACCAGTCTACTTGATCTACCAAAACTTTTCCCTAATATACTCAATATCATGACTCTTGACAAATGGAAAACCTACCTAAAATGCACACTTTTTCATAACTACATCAAGTTTCAAAATCAACTTTTTAAACAAGTCAGAGGATTGCCAATGGGCTTACATTCCAGCACCTCGATCTGTAATATCTTTTTATTTGTCAAAGAATTTAACTTCCAAAAAAATCTACAACCACAAGAGTTTAAATTACTACAAACACACCTACAGATATATTGATGACCTTATTACAATTAATAATTTTGGTAAAAATTGAACACTCCGAGATTTATCCGAATTGTCTTAACTTAATAAAACTAATAATTCACAAAATAGCATAGACTTTCTAGATCTTCAAATCATTAACTACAAAAAATATTTTACTTTTTGACAAAACAAGAAACTTCAATTTCAATACTAACAAATTAATAAATTGGAACTCCAACATATCCAAAAAAGTAATTAACAATACTATAATTAATCAAATACAACGAATTAAAACTATATGCACAGATACAATAGATTTACAACGCGAAATTTTGATCCTTATCAAAATTCTCAAAAATAATCTAATTCCCTTTCAATTTATCAACCATTGCCTTAAAAGAGCAGGCGTTAAATACTCACTCTAAATCATTTAACTGATAGGGATATGATAATTTGTTCCTAAACCTGAGAAGGCGGTATAAGTTGGATGACTGTCATTTGAAAGATTTGTATATAGTGTAATTACTCAATTGTATATATTGTAAAAAGCTAATTGTCTTCAGACATATACTGTTACTATACTGTTACTAAAAAAATGGGCCTATTTCATGCCTTTAGACTGTCTACTAGCTCTTGGACAGTGAAAATTCCTTTTTCCTTTCTTAAATTCTTAATCATTGCGACACGACAATTAGCCAGAAATTAATTAATTTCCATTCACTAGTAATTTCAAAAAAATCTTAACAGACGGTCTCTCTCTCAGATAAGAACTCCACAAAATACATCCCTCAAGAATTCCAAGTCCCACCCACTACCATAAATTACTTCACCAAGTCTTACCGACTGATATTATTCAAAGCCCCTACTGCCGCTAAGAATTTTCAGACACCCTACACTTCTGAGTCAGACACGAAGAGAACACTTTGCCAACTCCCCCACTAGAAAGAATGTAAGTTACTTAATACCTTTTCTGGCCTTATATCTTCATGTACATTCACTGATCTTATTTATATTATTTTCTATATTATTTTTATATTATTTTATGTTGTCTTTGATTTGTTTTTACAAAGTTTGCATTATTTATCTTTTTTATAATCTTCTATGTTTATTTCAACTTTACTTTGAATTCGATTTCATAATAACAATTTCCAATGTTTAATTTCTACAAATAATATAGTACTCAAATGCATAAACATGAAAGTGTCGGGGACGGTTACTCGAGTTTACAGGATTTCTCTACAGTAATTGATTTTTACTCCAAATTGAATTGACTAAAATGCTTCATAAGAATAAGTTCTTTGAGTATAGCATTGGTTCATAATCCTTCTATTCGCGGAAATATTTGGCCTGACTAGAATTGCCGGTTTGGCTTTAACTTATAACTCGAGTAAAGACGAAAAACACTTTCGTATTTACGTATTTTTATCAATTATTGTTCATTGAACGGGAGTTGGTTTGTTCCCCTTGAAAAGTCAACTAATTTCCGATCAATGACAATGATTACATGTTTTAATTTTTCCTTTTACAATTGAAATTTATTCTTCATGATGATTTAACTCCAGTCCCCGTTAAAACATTATTAACATTTTGCTTTCAAATTACTTCAAAACATCTTTCAAAATATAACTTACCAGTATGGATGCACACTTTTAAAATAATTCTACTTTAATTAAACTTAGGAGATAATATAATCAATTAATCAATACTGTTAGGAAAATATATATATATATATATATACTAAATGGATTTAAGTTCATACAACATTATTATATATATATATATAATCAATCTATGGATACATTTGCTAAATTCAATATAAGCTTAGATATGATTTTATATGTTCATATATAAATATTTTAAATATAATATAGGTATGATTTTGATTGATTTATCCTTGTTCAGTTTATCTTCATTTTATTAAATTGTAATTTATTTTTTGATAGTTACAGATTAAGATAGTAATACTGACCATGCAAATTTATAATTTCTCTTTACTTTACAAGTAATTGTTTATTCTTTAGAATACCACTTTGTTAACTTTTTTGTGAAGCATCTAGTGATATTTTCTCAAAGTTTGCCTGTCAGAAATACCATTTACAGTAACTATATTGCTTGTTATTTTTTCAGCAGAATTTATAACTATGTCAAAAAATTTACCTAATTCACCAAATAATATAAAAAATTAATTATTAATAAGACTGCAGTAATCTGAATCCGAACATTTGTATAACGTGCACAAAGCACAGCATATTAAAAACTAAATCCAAACATAAAATATACTTTTAACTATTGCATATATTTAATATACAAATATGAAACTGTCTTAAATACTTAAAAGTATTACGACACAAACATACAGAAAAGAAATAGAGCATTTGTAAAAAAAAAAAATTAACTAGAGGATTAGGATCACCGATGTTATGAATATTTCAGGCATGGAAATTCAAAGAAAAAAGTCTGAGAATTGCATAATTATTCTGCAATATTCTCCATATACAACAGATATTGGCTAATCTTTGGAATATGGTAACAGGTAGTTTGGCGACATTTTGGTAAGGCGATAAAGGTTACTATCTAGGACTTTAGCAGTGTACATGGATAAAGTCAAGAGTGTGCGCAATGCCATTTTTGTGCAATTCTGGGATTTTTTTTTAAATGACAATAGGTGGACGTGTACATGGATACCGTGTATGTGCAATTCTTAAAAACGCGGCAAGCAGTGGGCGATTCTGCACTTTCTCCCAATTTCGCACTTAATCGTCATCATGATTAAGCACTTTTGTTCCATAAAAGTTCTAGCATAAGCGTAATTCGGCTAGCAGATTGTTGGAAAAAAATGTCGAGTTGAAAAAAAAAAAAAAAAAAACCCTTTACTTCGTGAAAACAAAATGCCGTCCAAGAAAAAACGATCAGGTTGCTGTAGCAAGGTTGGTCGCCAAATTTTCGCCAAAAAAGTTACCATACCATACCAAGTTACCATAATCCGAAGATTAACCCAGATGTTTCTAAAGCTTTGTAATGGATAATTAAATGGTTTCGTTTTGATTGGCTGTATTTAGTAGCAGCTAATAAATAAAGGTTTTGAAGGAAAATCACATTATTTATGTTAAGGAAATTGTACTGTATATTATTCAAGCATTAGTTTTATTTTGTTCTCATTATTTATTTTCCTAGTGAAATATACACGAATTAAAAAAAATCTTTTCATGTTTTTTCATTGTTTGATTTAAACAGTAGTTTATTGAGATTATATGTATATATATATATATATATATGTATACAGTCAAAAGTCGTTAATCTGGACTCGTCGGGACTTCGGCAATTCCGAGTTATCGATTTTTCCGGATTATAGATCATCACTTTAAACCTGGTAAGATGGCATGCAGAAATTATAAAATTAAAAATATGAAACCGTAATTTATGAAATAAAGAACAATTATGATCTAAAGGGTATCAAAATTTACAAAAAAAAAAAAAAAAAAAAAAGCTTAATATTTATTTGTATACTTTATTAAACATTTCTTCCAATGTAAGTTGTTTAAGTTGCTTCGTTTTATGTGATAATACTTTCTCTTTAATTCTATAAACAGACATAATTTCTTCTTCAGTTACAAAGTTCCGCTGTTCAAGTCCTATAATTGCTGTGTCAAGAATACCGACTAATTTGTCAATCAAGATTTTATCGTTTTCAATAACCTCTGTGTCACTTTCTTCACTATTGGAAGCAAATTATAATGACGAGGAATATGATTTAAATCATATCAAAGATGACGTACATTGAGATGAAGTACTACATTTAGTAAGGAATTATAAGCCAAATAAAATAAAAACATCTGCTCTGAAGATAAGGATAGTGCTGACAGATCAACTTCCGATTCGTTGTGCACCGCGGTGTCCCCCCCTGCCGCAGAGCAGCGTGAAATTGATAAACAGATTTCGGAATGGTTAGAGAAACAAAACCTTTATCCATTTTTTGCAGCAATTCTACTTTTTGTTTAATGGGCTTTGAAACATACTTTCACTTTTGTAGATCCTTTACATATTAGTAAATATATATCGGTAATTCTATTTGACATAATTGAAAGTTCAAGCTTACTTTTATAAAATTGCTCTAACAGTCTGCAAAAAATAATAAGCCGGATCCAATTTGAAGATTAAGGAACAACGCAATCTGCAACTTTAATTGAATTAGATAATTTTAGCTTAGCTTATACCGCCTGTTATACATTAAACCCTCATGCGTAAACGTATTATGCGCATGTGCACACACATATTCGTAGCCGTAAAAGTCTTATGTCAACGCGACGCATGCGCAGAAAGTTTGTAGCTTTGAGGTCCGGATTATAGATCATTCCGGATTATGGTTGTCCGAATTAACGACTTTTGACTGTAAATTTATTTATTTTTGTTGCTGGCTGCTCCTTTGACTTTTTAAGTAAATATAGTTCAATGCCTTACATGGACAAAGGGAGTGCGCAATGCCTAGTTTGTGCAATTCTTTGTTTTGTTATTTTTCGCTTGACATTGGCTCAAAAATCGCAACTACACAAGCCAAAATAACAAATCTAAGAATTGCACTTGGTATCCATGTACCGCTAAAAATTGCCAATTTTCACCAAGGGGTACCCGTAAATATACTTTTACTGTGCTCTTTTATGCTAATTCTTATCTAAATCTCTGAAATATTAAATGATGTCTTAAATTTGAGAATTTGTGTTTACCAGAAACTGGGTTTAAAATACTTTATTTTTTATTCCAGGGGAAGGTTGTTTGTCCAGCTGTGTTTCTTTATTGTCATAGTGTAGTTCCATATGAAAGGAAATTACCAAACTCTTATAATTTCTTGAATCCTAACTATTCTAGTAAGTATTATTTTGCCTTATTAAATGTTACGTCTGCTGCTAAAAATGAATCGCTTTGAAAATAATTCCTTTTAGTTATGAGGCAGTTTTTATATTGAGTGCGTGAACTTTTAAAAAGTGATTATATATTTTCATATGCTATCTAAAACCTTAAGGAAGCCAAACTTGCATATTATTTTGTAATTCTTGAAATTAAAATTTCTGTTAAATTTGAAATCAGAATGTCTGTCTCAACTTTTTAGTCAGTTAGGTACTTACTTTGTATCCCTCGACCATGAAAGTTGACTACCATCGAACTGTCAGAGTTGGCAGAGATCCCACCAAAGTTGTGCCAATCCTTCCTGCGGAATTCTGAGGGAATTGATGCCTCTTCATTATAAGCAAACAGGATTTGAGCGGCTTTGTTTTTTGTACTTTGTAAAAAAACTTTTGTCAATTTCTACTATTTTGTTAGACCCTCCCATTTTACTGGAAACTTGGTTTAGAATGCTATGGGTATATGGGTACAGACTTTCCGTACGCTGTTCTAATCTGTTTCTGTTTTGTCGGCCATATTCAGGTGACCATGTTGTGTCTGTTGATAAGCACTTTTTTGTATGTAGGATACCTAACCCTGAAAATAATCCACTGCTTGCCATTCTTCAGAGGGCAAGTCCTAAATCTTAGTCATGTTTTCAGAATGTGAGGACAAAGTGTAACAACAACAGCTAATTTATACACTAGTTCATATAAATTTGAGGTGGCTTATCGAGAACCAACTGTCGTGTCACACTTATCTATAACTGATGCTAAATTACACTGCTTGGTGACAGTTCTATGGTCGACAGGTTAATATGCAAGTACCGTTACTTAATATCTGGCAAATGAGTATTTATGCTACTTATGTTATTAGAGTAACCACTTTAATAGAAGTTGCCAAATTTTCAGAATGTGCTGAACTCTGGAAACCGTGTGCTTAACAATTCTTCAGGTAACCATGCTCATAACAGTTTTTTAGTCAAGAAGCGATTCCATTTTTTTTAGTTTTTTTTTTTGGGGGGGGGTTGTACTGCAAGTTTGAATGATTTTTCTTGACAACTTGTGATATTTTTTGCCTTAATTTTAAAATATGTGTTTGTGAAATTTGCCAGGAATGGAAGAAAATGCCATAAAATTTCTGGCCATAGAATCTGTAAAAGTTGTTTGAATAAAAGTTCTTCAATTGTTTTAAATCTGTTAACCCTTTCAGGACGGGCATCCCATATACGCATTCCCTAAGAACGTCTCTTACAGCCGGCGTCCCATCCACACATCAGTAAAGATCGCATTCAGAGGATGGGTGATGCGTATACGCATTTTAAGGTGGAACGTTTTTCTGAAGGCTGCTAGATGGCATCCTGTGTCCATTACTTTTGAAATGAACACAGTTTTAGGTTCCTGACCTTGAATTTGATATATTCTGCTTGACTTTGGTATTTTACTCATCAGCTGTACAAGGGTGGGGGGCGGAGAGAAAGCGTAAACAGAGGAGGGCTCTTTAAAATCGCTACGTGCGAATGAAAACATTCTTGTATCTGATTTATATCCAGTTCCTTTTTTTATTCTATTTTTTTCTTCTACCATGTACGGTCTTTTATGGTTACTGTGGAGAGTTTTTTTACGTTTTGCATTGCCTTCAGATATATTTCCGTTCCTTCTTTTTTTTATTTAGGAAAGCCTCACCTCCAGTCTATTATGGCGGGAAGGTGCTATTTATCAGAGGAGGAATACCATAGTATGGTTAGTGAACCATTTACTAACACAAATGAGAATACTGATTCATTTTCTAAAGAGTTAAAAAGTGATACTTTTTCTAAGAGTTACAAAGTGATACTTCTCTGTGCTTCGAGATTTACTACACTCGTTTTCATTTTAAATTTTGTTACTTCTTACTGTAAATAGTCTTTATTGTGTTCTTTTTATTAATTTTAAACTTTATTGATGGATTTTATCAATTAAAACTTTGGAATAATTTGAATAGCGCTTCCGAAAATTATTTTAGAAGTTGAGCAATTTTTTAAGTATATTTCATGTAATATAAAGAAAAAAATGTTTTAAGGGCTAATTTTAACATATATAAGAGCTCAAGTAATAATCTAAAATGATACCGAAAATTACGATGCTAGAAGCGAAACTTTTGTTTTTCTGATTTTTGTTATAAAATTAGGCTTAGCGATGCAGAACCTCTGTCCTGTATGGTGACTGCCTTCGATTCTCTTCCGTCCCGCACGAGCGTCTTAAACAAAGGTGCACCGTCGCGAAAAGGTTAAAGCAATTGCCATAAAATTTCCACCAGAAAAAAAGAAACAAAAAGTAGCTTGCAAATAGATTTATTTATTGATATTTTAGATAAATACATAATCAATGTAATATATAATAATACAGGGTGTTTATAAATGAATGGTGTGGTTTTAAAAATTAATAATAAATCAATGTATTATCTTACTCATGTAAAACCTACACAGTAAGCATTGGCAGCTGTTCGAGTTTCTTATGTGCTATCTGCTGTTTGCTTTTTATGCTTACTGCACAACCACAACTTTAGTTTCCAAAATGGTGATGCAACAGGAAAAGGCATTCTTTGTGCTTTGTTTTGAGGTTTCCATGGTTTGAATGCAGCATAAATTTCATGTTCATTTTTTGTGTGGTATCCTGCAAGAAAGTGCATGATCCATTGTTTTTTGAAAAAGAAACTGTAATTGGTGATTAATTTCTAGACATATTGGAAACTTGGTTGTTACCCTAGCTGAACACAATTAGGCTGTACATTTTGCGACTGGACGATGCTCTGCCCCATTTTCACAGGAATGTACAAGAACTTCTTATCCGTGTTCTTCACCAATGCTGGATTGGATGTGCTGCAACAGCAGACAACAACCTTCACCCCTGGCCACACCAGTTACCGGCTGTAACTCCATGTGATTTCTTTCTTTTGGGGTTTAGTAAAGACTGAGTTTATATACTGCCAATGCCCATGTCCCTTGAGGAAGTTTGTGCCATGTTATACTGAGTGTGGGAAGAATTTGATTACTTTGTAGATGTGTTTTGCATAACCAAGGGTGCACATTGAACGATTGTGATTAATGCATCAAAAACTTAGGCATTGGATGCTGCTTATGCTGTAAGGTTTGTCCATATAAAGTGATACATCAATTAATTTTTAAAACCGCATCATTCATTTATAAACACCCTGTATATGTAATAAGAAATTTTATATCATTCTGTATCATCTGTAAAATGTTGCCAAATAGTTTCAAGGGGGTTGCATTGATACATGAGCTTCATATTTATTTTATACAAGTAAGTAATTTAATCTAGCCAATGCATTTTATTTAGTACATATATTAAGCTACCTTTAAAAAATATATAATTTCTCAAGTAATGTACATTATGAAAATATTTATAAATGATTTTCATTCCAGACATATTTGAGTTTATTTAAGGGACAGAACGCAACCTTTTAATGGTCGGTCATCATTGAGCTCAGCTCTCATTCCAGTTATACACTGCAGTGGGTGCAGATGAGAACAGCTGACATTCTAGATTTACGACTGACAAATATTGGGAAGTATATGGGCATATTTGGGAAAAGAATTGTGTAATCTCACAACTGACAAAGGTTTAATAGACAGCAGTTTATTTATTGTTAAAGTTTGATATCAGTTTTAAACTTTTCAAGTAAAACAATCACTAACAACTAATTCAATAATTAATCCTAAAATAATAATTGAAAATTAAACTATTAACATAATTTTTTTAATTTCATTAAATTTTTTTTTTGTTTTTTGTTTTTTGTAAAAATACTTTTATATTTACATTCTTGATGAAATTTTTCTTTTACAAACAACTATTCTATCTGTGTTTGTTTCATATTGTTCAACAACAGTTTTTTACTTCTTTTCTCAATTTTGTAAAACTGCTGGTAGCTTTTTCAATCTTTCAATTCAAGAGATTTTCTTAGAATCTTCTGTGCTTTTCTAGATTTGATTGATGGTAGCATATCATCACTTTTTTTTTTTTTTTTGTATTACTTTCACTGCCAGTTTTTGCAGTTCTTTTAAGACTTTCTATAATATCATAGTCAGTTTTGTACAAGATTGCTCAATATTGACGGCAGTTGACTCATTCTAAAAAGGAAACTTCCTAACTGCCCTCGCTGACATCTGAAACATCAGCTACACCTGGCAATTTCTCTGTGGCTTTTTCTAATTCATTTTTTCTTCTTTCATAAAGGTGTTCTGTGGTACTTTTAAGAAGTCACCACACACAAATTAAATTTTCCTCAATTTAACCTAAAATATATATTGCATTCTGTAAAAAATGAAATAACTCTTATTTCTAATTAAGACTGTGTAGTACATGGTAAATAAAGCATACAAATGTTCTCCAATGAAATGCATGAAATTTATTCATCAATTCGAGTTCATTTAAACTATCCAAACATTTAAAATATTCTATAGATAAAAAAACTTACTCCCGGGAGAATTAAAAGAAAAATATATAAAGAATAAAGAAAAATTTAATTGTGCATCATACTGGGTAACGGACTATTTTTTGTTCTTTTATGACTTGTGACATAGCCTTATTCAGTTTAATACTAACTTTAAACTATCTTATATCTATTATTCAAATTTACTCATTAATTGTATTTTATAAAAGGTTTGCAGAACTAAAATATTATTGCACATTAAAAATAGTAGCAAAAACAGAACTTTAGCAAAAATTAAGATCACCTACTGTCTGCCTAGCATACAAGCTTTTCCCTAGTTAATTGTAACTATTGCACTAAACCGGAATGCTGAAACGCATCAAATACCAGAATCCTATAGATTAAATTAGTTATTTTTTTTAAACGACAATTCTGCCGTTAAATTGTAATAAAAAATGTTAGCTTTACTGGACTGAAATTATTATTATTTGATGAAACTTAATACATAACAATTCTAAAATTATAAAATGGTACTTATCAAATTGGTAGCTGGGCCTCCGGAAAATAAAAACTGTCAAGATGTCTTCACTCATGAGAGGCTCCGATCACTGGAAGGACGATACGGATATAAATTATAGGTGGAACCAGTAAACTATAAGTCCCAAAGGAAAGTTGATGAGTTCAGCATTTCAGGAAGGGTTCTTCAAAACGAACAGGACCTCTTTATCAGTCGAAGATGGTAGTTGGTACATCGGGCAAAAGCTCAGATGAGATAGAACCGCAAAAGAAGAATATGGAAGCCACGCACAAATTGATGTCGTGAACTACTTCAAGAACAGGTATGAACAGAAAAATCAGGAAACTCAACTCGTCCACCTCGCTTTCATGATGATCGGAATCAGCAGGAACATTTTTTTAAATATTGTTGTCATGCTCATGTTTTAGCTACCATTTTCTTGAAGATGAGGAACCACAGTTTTTGAAAGAACCAGGATATTATATCTTAAGTTATTCTACGCCGAACAGGAACAGAGATACCAAGCATTTTCATGCCGATACCTGAAGGAACGAATTGTCCCTCATTATCACGACGAAGACAACTCAGCCGTAACCCCGCTAGATGAGGAGAGCAAGAGTGTAAGAGCACAACAGCGCAAAATTCCCACCTTCAACTTCTTTTAGATATGAAGAGACTACCACATTGGCCAACAGGCACTAGAAATTGTGTGGGGGGGGGAACAGTTTATTTCAACCACTGCCTTACGCACTGTAAAATTTCTCATTTTTTCAAGGTGTTAAACTAGCCATAAATTCACGTGCACCAAAAGATCACCAAATCAAAACCATCTGCGAAGGTCGAACTGGCAAACCTATACTCACATCAACCAGAAATCCCTTATCAGTGAAAGCAGGAGAGTTAAAAATCTTGCTAAAACTATGTTTTTCCCAAGTTCCTTCTCCCAAACTCTCGATACAATGGAAAATGCAAAATTGTTTGTCTTATTTTTCCACACGATGATAATTCATTGCTTTTTCAAGCTGTTAAGTTGAAAAAAGCTGATTAACCCTCTTGCTGTGTATCCCGCGATTTCCACGGGCAACATAGAAGTAGCAAAATTTGCACAACCCGTGATCCTCGTGGAAATGAATATTTTTCGTTTATTTAACTGTGTGCAATCCACTCTTTTCCCATTTATGGTTTCATTTCGTCTTTTCTGTGATGTTTAATTATTTATTCAGATTTGGTTAACAGATGGCATTAGTTGTCCATATTTCTGCGAAATATACAAACACTTTTGCACCATTTTGCTCGCTCTTTTCAAAGCTCAAAGATGTCTGTACTCTCAATCACATGAGACTAACTGCTTGACAGTTTGCTAGATATATATATCCCCCACTTCCATCAAGAAAGAAACTAGTAGACATTGTTTCTAAAAAAAAGAATATTGTTTGTTTCTAAAAAAAGAACTGAAACTGGCAAAAAAATTCTCAAAGAAATGCATATTTGGTGCAAAGATGGCGAGATAGGATGCCTTGATCCTTGTTTTGAAGTTTATCATATTATACTTCATTTCTTATAAATGTTTTATAAAAATGTGCATATTTTCATTAGTATATACGTTTTACCATTACATTTTATAAAATAAATCATAATTTAAAAAAGATTAATTTTAAAAATTTTTCTTTTATATGATTATTCTTCAGTTCAAACTTTCCGACAACCTTTTTTTAATGAGCTAATTTTATACTGAAAAAAAACTCTTTTACAAAAAGTTTGTGTATATTTTAACTCTAAAATGTATGTAGATTTGAAATATGTAATTAAAAAATTACGCAATTTTCGAACCTGTTTTGATAAAAAAATTACACAGCGAGAGGGTTAAGAGCTTGTTGTGTGGTATGAGTTGCTGCTGCCAAAACAAACTATTTATTCCTCTAATTATGGGCCACAGCTGGCCAGACTAGATGAAACATTTAATGAGAAGTATGGCCGGTTGAAAGAGTATTGTGTTCCATTATGCCAGATCACATTTCTATAAAGCAGGCATGGCCACACTGCACTCTTTGAGCCCCTTAAACATGACCCACATTATAACATATAACCTTTTTCCAAATATCATTTCGGAAATTATTTTATAATATGCTGTTTTAAAAATTGGTAATTTTTTCCTTTAAAATTGTAAGTATATTAATTTTAAACAATTTCAAATTGTGCCCATTGTACTGATCTTCAAACTACTAAACAAATCTTTAATAATTCTTTTTCTATCACTTACTATAGTAGTGCTATTTTTAGAATAATTAACTAAGTAAAGGCAGTCAGAAATGCAGAAAAGGTAAAATTATAAGCAAGATGATTCTGTATTGATGTTGTACTTCAAATTTTACAAAATGGTGTATCCGAATATGCTTACTTATAAATTACTTTGGAAGAAGCAAAATGTATATGATGGTCCAGTTTGCATTTAATGATTAAGTTTAAAATTATTTAAGGGCTAGGTTTTGTTCCTATGTTTTTTGTTCTCCTGTATCTATATTGGAAAACTATTTTTTTAATTAAAAAAAACCTCTAAATTATCTGCTTAAAATCATTTTCCTCTATTGAAGTTAAGTTTTTTTTTCAATGCACTCTGTTCCTTCCCTGTATTGTACCCCAAAAAGTGCACATGAGTTAAAAAAAGGTAAAGGTCATTATTAAAGTTGCCAGTTCTGGTTTTCAAATTACTGTAATAGTTCTTCATTGGAAGGAAGAACTTTTTTCATTGTTCAGATTAGTTGTGAATTATAATAATAAATACAGTACAGGAAGAAAAAAGTAATCGAAAGTTTTTTTTTTTTTTTTTTAAAGAGAGAAAAGGTGCTTATACAGCTTGCGAAAGTTGAAAATTTATGTTTCACATGGACATACATACCTAAATACAGACCGAGGAAGTCAATAATTATATATTTATTCTGATAAATAATTACACTAATTAAATAATGTTAAATTGTGACATTTCTTTCCTACTGTTCTTTTTAAAATGTTATATCCTTACATATATATCTTGGTACAGTGCCTGGAAAATCAGGTTGCATACAATTATATGTTGTATAAATTTTATTGAATGCTGTGTCTTATTTCAAAGATTGAAATATTTCTATTGAAACAGAGTGAGATTTTAAATCTGCTTTTGAATACTAGTGCCGTGCTTTTTAATTTTCACTGTTAAATATACTTCCCCTTTCAGATTTGTAGTTTAAAAATGCCACAGGTACCCTGTGTGTAATCCAGAAGTGTTGAAAGTTGTGTATGTCATGAATACCTGAAATGCATGTACATACTCTCTTTTATCACTTATTACCATAAAATATGTATAAATGTTCTATAAAACTTTTTTTTTAAATCTCTAAATACTATGTGTGACATCTTTTTTCTTAACTACTTAAGCTGGCTTAACACATCTGTTCATCTTGCAAACAGAACAGGTAAATTTTGATATCAATAAAATGAACTGCAATATAGAGAGTTTGGGTATGGTGTTTGTCTTGTGTTATGTTTTTTAGTAAGATTTTCTTGTTTATTATAAATATTCAGTGTGTAATATGCAAGTTGAAAAAATTAGTTACTCAACTATCTATTTTATTGATAGGCTGTGATTCAGCATTAAGCTGTTAACTGTTGAGTTGTTGTAGTTATATCCAAATATAGGAAATGCAATGCATCCAAATATAACATTATAAGTCAAATGTTATATTTGGATTTTCAACAGCACATCTGTTGTTCAAGGGTCAGCTTTTTATTTTTGTAATGTTATCTGTATTGCTCTTTTTAATTTATTCTAATTCTGTTAATCTACTTTATTTATTTCAGACATAAGCATTTATAATGAAAACATATTTAATAATTTTGCAGCTGGTATTTCTGCTGTCCGTGGAAGTTTCAAAAATGCATTTGAACCTAGTCAGCTTAAATCCATAGAACATGTCTTGTTTCTCACCCATATCTTTTGGAAAATTAAAAGAGAGTACACTCAATGGCAAAACTTAATAATGCTCATCGTTTGGTTTGTGGAACCTTGGTTTTACTTCTTGTTGATGTTATATGGGTTGCCTCATCTGAATTAACCAAAGTAAGTGTTGAAGGGATGTGAAATCTTAAAATCAATAGTGATTATTAAAACTTATGTGAACATCTGCCAAAAAGTGTTATGTTAAGGATTAAAAGAAAGAAAATACATGTTTTGAATGTAAACATCTTTAAAAAATATGTTTAAGGTATGATACATATTTAACTTTTATTTCATTCATGCTGGTTTCAGTTCTGTCAGTTTTTCAATTATATCCTGATTTCAAATAACACATGCAGGATCTTTTCATGTAATGTAGTTTTTTTTTTTTTTTTTTTTTTTGCTGATGACGTATTTTTAGCTTTGGAATACTCATTGCTGTTATGCTTTACCATTAAAAAATAAATATGCATTACTTAAATTGGGCTCTTTAGTGACAAATAAATCAGTACTTTTTTATACTTTCAAATTGACCTTTTTATTTTTCTTGAAAGATTTTTTTTTCTTAAAATTAAAACCTGTAACTGAAACGAATTGCACAGTTTCGACTTCATTGTGAATAAATTTCATTAAATCATCAACACAATAATTTGAAGCTCTACCAGCTGATTGTCATTGCTAGACTCAAAATTTATCTGTATTACAGAATTCTATCAGTGGAAACAGATTAGCATCTTATGTTCTGTTGCTACACCTAAAAACTGTAACACATTCAAATGAGATTCTATATTCTCATATTAAGTTGAAACATAAGATGTAGAATTTCTGCAGTATTTTGAATGACTTGTGGTGCATAGTCAATTAAATTAAATTACAATTAATTAAATCTTATATCAGTTATTCCATATTTTGACTACACAACTGTTATGTTCTTTAATGCTGCTCATTATTTATTTGTTTATTGGTTTTTATTGTACAAAAGTTTTAAAGTCAGTTTTTCAGTTTTTGTCGTTTAACTCAGTTTTATAGACAATAGCATTAGGTCAAAATTCTGAGTAATATTGTAATTTAAAAATGCTAAATATTGTTGCTTTCTTTTGAAATTTTAACAACTTATGCAGGAAAATTTTGCCTTTCTTTTGAATCTACTTTTATTAAATTAAGTTAAGTATGTCAGGAGTTATGCTCATTTAAGTGTTTTAATTCTTCAGATTTATTCAATTTCTCACTGGCTCAATAAGTCATTTTTTTTAAGCTGTTTTCCTTCAAGGTGACCCTTGCATCTTATTCTTTCTGAGGGGTGGTTTTGCACTGGAGTAGGGGGTTGCTGTTCTTTGTGGTTGAATTATTGGCTGGAAAAAAGTTAAGTTTCTTGTATTGTTTTATTCTTGTTGTTAATGAAAATTTTTTTCGCTGATTTTGGGGGTTTTGGAGGAATGTGCTGTCTACAGGGTTTAAAATGGAGGGTGCATGCTTGCAAGAGCTCTCTTTTTTTCTCGACTTCAGTTGCCTTGTAATGGCAGGTTTTCTCTGTGAGCTTATGAGCTTGCGTACCATGGATGAATATACATAGATGTACTTTGTAATTACAGTTAGCATCTGAAAAAGATGAAGCTTTTCAAGAAGCAAATTTATTGCCCTAGAACTGCCTACAGATATTGCTATTAACTACTAAATTTTTTGCTACTCGGATGATGATTTCAGGAAACAAATTTATTGCTGTAGAACTGCCTGCAGATAATGCTATTAACCACCAAAGTTTCCACCGTTAAAATCCTGCTGCCACTTGTATGAAGAACTCTTCTTGTGGTTATTCAATTTTGTTCACTCCATGGTTAGTCGTCTCGTCGATCAATTGGTCTCTTCTTAAAAAAGTTTTCTTTTCACACTTTTGGGCTGCTGTGTTCATCTGCTTTCTTCCCTTGATGAGACAGACTTGAGATGGAGACTGCAACTAGATTTCCAGCCGTCTTGGATAAGTTCTCTTTGTAAAATTTTATGTCCAGTTGTTTCTTAAAAACAGCCTCCTAATGTTCTCAAAGTAAACTTCATAGAATAGTTACTTACTTAAAGTAAAGCTCTAGCCATAGTAATGTGGGTTGAATAAGTAGTTTAAATTTTCTTTTTGTTGACTGAGCCAGAATGAGAACTTAGTTCTTTTTTTTTACTCCCTATGCTAAGGAGATCAGGACCTAGATTTTTGTAATGGAATATGATTAAGCTGTAATTGCTTTGAGTAAATTAACCAGTTGGATATTTGTATGACCAAGGGAAATTTTGATGTAAAAATGCAATGAAATTAATTATTAATACAGTCAAAAGTTTTTAATCCGGACTCGTTGGGACTTCGGCGATTCCGGATTATCGGTTTTTCCGGATCATCAAGTTAAATCAGGTAAGATGGCATGCAGAAATTATAAAATTAAAAATATGAAACGGAAATTTATGAATAAGGAGCAATTATGATCTAAAAGGTATCAAAATTTACAAAAAAAAAGTTTAATATTTGTTTACTTTATTAAACATTTCTTTCAATGCGCATGCATGCATAAAGCATACATTACACATAGTCGACATTAGAAAATTGCAACCAGAAAACTATTAAATGTGTATTCGTGATATTTATAATGACGAGGAATTTCATTTAAATCATATCAAAGACGGAGTACATCGAGATGAAATACTACATTTAGTAAGGAATTATAAGCTGAATAAAATAAAAACATCTGCCCTGAAGATAAGGAGATAGTGCTGACAGATCAACTTCCAGTTCATTGCGCACCGCGTCGTCCCCCCCCCTCAGAGCCCCGTGAAATTGATAAACAGATTTCGGAATGGTTAGAGAAACAAAGGATATGCCTTTATCCATTTTTTGCAGCAATTCCACTTTTTGTTTGATGGACATCAAACACGCCTTCGCTTTGTAGATCCTTCGGCAGCTCCAGAATTGGAAATTCTTTTTGACATAATCGAAAGTTCAAGCTTACTTTTATAAAATTGCTCTAACAGGCTGCAAAAAATAATAAGCTGGATCCAATTCGAAGATTAAGGAACAATGCAATCTGCAACATTAACTGAATTAGATAATTTTAGCTTAGCTTATACCGTCCGTTATACATTAAACGCGCATGCGTAAATGTGTTATGCGCATGCGTAGACGCATATGCGCATGTGTAAACACATTATGCGTTTACACATGCACAGAAAGTTTGTAGCTTTGAGGTCCGGATTATAGATCATTCTGAATTATGGGCATCCGGATTAAAGACTTTTGACTGTAGTTCAAGATTGATTTTTAATCTCCTGTCTGTTACTGTGAGTGTAATATTATATATATATACATTTTTGTTAATGCTCTGGCATGTATACGAACCAGTTTCCCTTAGAAAGTCCTCCACGAAGGCATCCCTACTCTTAGGCAGATATATATATCTTTATCAATACAATTACTATTTCACTAATTTTTATATGGATTTATAAAACAATATATTATATGTTTGATTTTTTGAATAACATCAACCTGGTAATCTTAAAGGTAATAAATAGTTAAGTAAATAATGTTCTAGCTCAAAGTGATTATTTTCTACAGCTGATTGTATAATTTGTAAAAGTTAGTTGACATTAATTTAGTAGAATGTTTAAATGATTATTACATAGAATTATTCTGTTGCTTAGTATGATTATGGTTCATAGGTTCATTCCTACTGGTTTAAATGATTATTACATAGATGAATCCTGTTGCTTAAATTTTTTTTTTTTAAATTTTTTTCTTTGGTTCAAATTTAATGTGTTTTTGGTTAATATGTTTATTTCCTACTTCCCAGAAGTATATAACTCTTGCAAGCCAACATCTTCATTGATAACCAATAATAAAGAGCTTTGATTTAAATTTACTGCAGTATACAGTACCTGTATGTTTGATTTTCTGTGTATTTAACTTGTGCCACCTTAGCTCTTACTTACCTGGGTTGTTTAAATAAAAGACAATGCAGTAGATTTCATTTTATAATTCTTGAACTAATTTGTTTTATTTGTTATCTACCCAGTTATTATTTAAACTGTGGTAAAGGTTTATTCAGGCTTTGGAATTTATTAACTTGAAACTTAATTAACACTTTGATGATATAATGGTTAATTGTTAAATTTTAAATTCTGCAATCCAACATTTTGTGCCTAGTTACCAACCACGTAATTTTTGTGCCAACAAATTAAGGGTACATCTTTCTTTTTCTCCTGCCACCGAACACTTGTAATGAAAGTTCTGTGATATAAATTTCAGTTAATAAACCATCTTTACCAAAAGTCAGTAGTAAAGCTTTTACTACTTTTGGATAATTCTCTGCAGCCACAAGATAAGTATCAACTAGTTCCTTAGCATATGAATTTATTACTGTTGACTGTATAAGATACTTACCTGTAGGATCTATATTATCATCATGTGTCTTCATAAATAGGGCTCAAAACTGCAGCCATTCTATAATGTTTTCATCAAATTTCTTTGATATGGTTTATAGAAGTTGAAGCTTTCTTTTCTGCAAAATATTTACACTGTCAGAAGAATATGTTATGCAATCAACATCTGTTTATTTATTATTTTTTATCTAAAATTACCTTAACCTTGAAATAATTAAATATTGCTCAACTGGCTGACTTTCATTTTCAAGCTCCTCTTCTGTCTTGTCAGCTTCTGACATTAAATCCATTGCTTGTCTAAGTTTTGCAGCTGCTGTAACTTCACTTTTTAAGTTAGTGACTCCGATTCTACTTCAAGTAAATACTATCAGGATCTTCTTTATTAATATCTTCAGAAGTACTGCTTATGAGCTTATTAAACAAACTTCTTACCTTTTTCTTTAACTTACAGATCTTTTCCTTGCTTATAAAAATCCTGTTGTTGGATGCCAATTTATTTCAGAACAGATTAAACACTATGTCACCACTAAGTCAAATATGTGTTAAGTGGCAAGAAAGTAAATGCTCTTTAACAGGAAAACATAGTTTTGTTAACAAGATTGAAGTTTCTGAAAGCATTCTTATTTACATGCCACTATCTTGAGTGATGAACTCTGTTATAAATCTGCACTAGCTGAGTACTGGCAAGAAAGAAGGTGTGCCTTTTTAAATAGCTAGAGCTATTTAAAAAGGCACATTTTCTTTCTATAAAAAGCTAACACCATTTACTGATATTTGGTAGTTTAGGTTAAATGCAAAGCATTTACAAAATCATCTGATTGGTATCCTTCCTAGTCTGCCAATTTAAAATACTTGATTGAGTACCATCATTTAATGTTTCCCAACCAAAGCAGAATTTCCCCAAGGAGGAAATTTTACAGCTTCAAGGGGCATGCAATCAGCCTTTTTATTTAACGTTTTAGTTTCCTAAAAAAATTATTCAAATTTTGGGGTATTTATCAACATTTTCTACACTTTTTATTTTTTAATTTGTAAAACAAGTTTTAAATCATCTAAATCCAGACAAATATATTTATTTATTTTTCAAGTTTTGGAAAGGAGAGGGTTGGGGGCAAAAAAGTTTGAGAACCGCTGATATAGAAGTTTACACAGAAATTGAATTTTCCTCCTGTTTATAAAAGTAAAATAACGAACCTTAATATGTGGATGCTGCATGAGGTGATTGATTGGAACAAGGTTAAGCAATTCGAAGTGTGCTCTTTTCTGATTGTGAGCAAATAAAGTATTCTCAAGTATCTTCTGATCTAATGAAAAGGGAACCTTATGTGGCATTTGCAGAAGTTCAGTTAAAAAAATGCTGGTCAACTTTATATCTCAAGAAAGATATTATGTACCATGTGGTGGTTATCTTCAGGAGTCATGTATGATTGCTTTTCTATGGATTCAAATCATGATGATGAATCACTGTGATAGATATGCAGGGCAAGTATACCAGAAATTAGGCAAATGGTGATTTTATTCTTGCAGTATTATTTTGCTTATTTTTAATCAGCAGTTGTACATATATATTTTATTCATGATAAATAGAGCAATCATTATCAAGATACAAATTGTATTCATTTTCTGACTTTTGAAATTTGGCATTTGATTAAATGTGAATATCCCATTTTGTGCTCTTTCTGTAAATTTCAACCTTGGAAGATCAGTTTTAGATGCAGTGTGAATTAAAGTTAGAAAGAATAAAATTATTCTTTATAAGTATTGCCATATTATATAAGTTTACCATTTTAAAAATATCAAGTGTGTAAATATCTTTCAGAATATATGACCTAATAAACTGAGAAATTACATTTGTCTAGTATATGTTCTTTGATGATTATACGCAATGCTTGGGAATTCTAGGAACTGCATTTTTGCACAGCTTGCCATTATAGACCCAATAACAATTAGACCATAGAATTATAAAAATAAAGGTTGAAGATCCTGACTTAATGAAGATGTTTTACTGTAAACAAAGATCCATTCCATCATTATCTTTCTTTCTTTCCACCAGTATCAAGGAAGCCAATTCATTGAGGCAGTTAGCATATCAGCCAGGTGGCTGTGTTAATGGAACTATCTTTACTTAAAAATGTCTGTGCTTGAAGTGTCCCAGGGCTGTCTTTGGTAAAGGCACAAGTAAACTAATGCATTTCAGTTCTTTTCAAAGTTCAGGTGGGGGCACATGATGAGTGTTGGTTTAAGGATGCATGAAAGGTGCAGTGCAGGTGAGGAGAATATATAATACAAAGTCTGAAATCTTAGAATCCAGTATTTAGAATGATAAAATACCTCGACCTTTGCACCCCCAGCAAAAATTTATTTTTCCTTAAAAAGTAGGAAGGGAGTCTGTCAAGAAAACGTAGGTGTGCTGATTTTTCTCACTACTAAATGAGATTCCTGAATGTCATGCAAACAGCTGCTGGTTATTGTTGTCCATTCAAATAGTTGCTGGCTGGAGAAGTCTACTGTAGCTAATGATAATACCTTGATTAACCCTGGCCACAATCACACTTTCAACTCATGAATGGTTGTGGGAAGTTAGCATCTGTTGCTCATATGGTTATTGTTTATTTGTTTTGCTAATATGCTAATATAGTGTCAAGAAAGGAAAAGATGATTAGATTCCACAGAACAGTTAACAACAGATTCACTCTGTCTTATTTGTTCATTTGAAGCAGGTTATTACTTTGGTTAGTCTATTAATAAATTACATTCTTAGTAAATGATACTACTCTTTCCCGGAAACTACACCCATCACTCAGCCGATAAGATATAAAAATTTTGCACACCCTAAAATGCATGTATAAAATAACATTTTAAAAATTGATACAGCAGTAAGACCATCCAAAAATTGTAGAAATATTTAAATATAGAATGTGATATATGGAACATTGCAAGATCATGATGGGGATGTGTCTGCAGATATTTTTTTAAATGCTTGTCTTAAGATATAGGCAACTACTAAATTTCATGATGATGAAAGCAGCAAATCTGTTACTTTCACACAAGTAAAAATCGCAGAAATATCACAAGTAAAACACGAAATTTTCCAATTATTCAAATATTAAAAAAAAAAAAAAAAAAGGTAAATGAAGATGATGACCAGTGCATCAATCATCAATTAATTTACAGAACAGTTACTGTCTGTTAGTATGGTTTTAAATCTAGAAAATATTGTCATTTTATTTCATATAGCAGTGATTCAGTTAAAATCATTCTTTATGCACAATCCTAAATATTAATAAAGAATATTTTCAATTTTACAATTTCTGCATGTCATCTTACAAGATTTAAACTGATGATCTAAAATCTGAAATTTTTTTTAATTTGGAATCTCCGAAGTCCCATTGATTTCAGATCTTGGATTTTGTGTTATATACAGTGTTCACATGTTACTTCACGTGTTTAGAGATGGATAGATAAAACTGACATATTGTTGATGGCTTCGACAGTGTGAATAAGTTTTAAGTTCTATAGATGTATGTGTATAGGTATTTGGTATGACTGAGTTACATAGATTTTCTGAGTCCCATCAGCTAAATAACCCAATTAAACTATTAGTAATACATTGAGTGTAAACATAAACCATTAATTCTGTGAGTGATGCAAAATTAGATAATGCATTAAAGAAGTTCAATAAACACAATTATTTAAAACTTAATTAGAATGTAGTACAAAGTCTAAGATATGAACTCATCAAGGTTTCAGCAGTTCTGGATTTGGGAGTTTCCAGATAATAGATCATCAATTTAAATCCAGTAAGATAGCATGCAGAGGTTATAAATTTAAAATTTATTAAACATTTCTTTGAAAGTACGTTCCTTAAGTTTCTTCATTTTTTGGTCTTAATACTTTCTTTTGTTCTGTATAGTTTCGTGTTCAATTACAAAGTTTAATTGTTCAAGTCCTGTAATTGCGATCTGAATAAATTTTCGATATTTTTTTTCCTTTCTCAACAATCTTTCTGTCACTTCCTTCACTATTGTTATTACTTTTCTGAATTTAGAGCCATACTACAAGTTTTGCTATCTGTTAGTTAACTAATGATTGGGGCATTGCCATCGCAATTCTAGTATATCATCTATGTTTATTACCAATTCTCTACATTTCTTCACAGATTCCATCAAGTGCCATGAGCAGTGAGTCCAGGAATGCTTTTATGGAGGACTTTCTAAGGGAACTTTGCCTATTTGGCCATGGCATGGACATTTTAAAATTATAATTGTGAAATGTTGAAGTCTGAAGCAGTGTAATTCTGCTATCTGGAATTGTCATAATTATTCAAATGTGATGCATTTACATAAACAGTATTTCAGTCATTATTTCTTGGCTTTGGAATATTTAAGATGCTGTATTGACTCAAATATAAAATGTTTTCCTCTCTTAAAATGCCCATTGCCTGTGTTGCATTGCATGTGCAGTCTAGCATTTAAGAAATATATTTCAGTAATTTATCTGTTATTCTCTAACTTTTATATTAAAAAAATATTTACTCATATCTATCTCAAAATACATTTTTCTCTCGGGGGGGGCAGTGTCCCATCAGCATATCAAGCTGTTAAATGTGAAGCCATTTGATATCTGTTTTCTTTCCATGTGAAACATATTAAAAATAAGTTTTCTAAAATTGGGGAAATTATAATATGTTTACTTACTTCTATTTATAATATATATATTTATAAAGCAATGTAATATAAAGTATCAGTGATTTGATAAAACCTTTAGCTAAAATCCTTTTTTGTATTTTATCTGGGGCACTAAAGAAAAAATAACTGGCATTATTTGTTGATATTCTTAATACATTTCCCCCTCTCAATCTGAAAATGAAATATTTCTGCATGGCTACTAATAATATTGTTATTTATCCTCGTATTGTTTTAATACTTCTCTTGTGCAAAGTGCGAGTGAATGATTTTTGTTTTCAAGTAGTAAAAGCATAGTTTGAGAAACAGTTTTGATTTGTTGTAATTCTAATGTGTTCTTCATTTACTTACAGTATATATTTAAAGATGAAAATTTTAGCAAGCCTTTTTTTAGTACATATGTGAAAACGACCATGTTCATGCTTTATTTATTGGGTTTTATATTTTGGAAACCATGGCGAAGTCAGTGCAGTTCTAAACCTATGTATGCCGTAAGTAATAATGCTAATAATATAGCCATGTTCCCTGTAATTTATTAGTATTATTATTCATATATCCTCTTTTTTATTTGACAGCTTGTTGATCCCACTAGCAGTGAAATTGAAGAACATGATTGTGATTATGTTGAGGCTGAGCCTTTATTGGTGAGTAGATTTTTTTTTATACATGGTCTATGAAAATTTTAGCCACAGTAGATTTTATAACAGTTTGGTTAGAGCTATTAAAAGTATGCTAATGTTCACATCAAATTTACATCTGTAATGGCTTTCACAGTAAACTGATGTTACTATGTGTTATTACTGTCCTTGTAAAAGTATATTTATTCATAGTTGACATGACTTCATGGTTGACAGTAAGTTTTTTATAGAACGCAGTTATTTTTAGGTAAAGTTAAGGTAACCTCTATAAGACAGATGGATTTAAAGAATTTTTGATTATTAGAAAGGAACATTTTTTTCAAAGAATGGTATAAGGGCAATTTTGTATATAATAGGGAAGTTTAGATCTAAACGTCACGGCGCGCAATGAACTGGAAGTTGATCTGTCAGCACTATCCTTATCTTCAGGGCAGATGTTTTTATTTTATTCGGCGTATAATTCCTTACTAAATGCAGTATTTCATCTCGATGTACTCCGTCTTTGATATGATTTAAATAAAATTCCTCATCATTATAAATATCACAATACACATCAAATAGTTTTCTGATTGCGACTTTCTAATTTCGACTATGCATAATGTATGCTTTATGCATGCATTAGTTGAAAGAAATGTTTAATAAAGTAAACAAATAAATATTAAGCTTTTTTTTTTTTTTTTTTTGTAAATTTTGATACCCTTTAGATCATAATTGCTCTTTATTTCATAAATTACGGTTTTATATATTCAATTTTTTAATTCTGCATGCCATCTTACCAGATTTAAATTGATGATCTATAATCCGGAATCGCCGAAGTTCCAACGAGTCCGGATTAAAGACTGTTGACTGTATTAATAATTAATTTCATTGCACTTTTACATCAAAAATTTCCCTTGGTCATACAAATATCCAACTGGTTAATTTACTCAAAGCAATTACAGATTAATCATATTCCATTAGTTTTAAATTATCAGATGGAAACTTATTAGAAATTCCTGATATACCTTCATCATGTTGCTTATAATTCTTTTCATATATAACTCATATTTCAGTAAATTTGTCTCTAAGATTCCATTGTGTCATACTCTTCATCCGTAAAGCTAATCAGGTCTTTTAATTTCTTCATCTAGTTTAAATAAATGCTCAGCCATCTTGACAACTTTGCAAAATTGAACATGAATGTCTCTTACATCATTCTTATCATAAACCTTACCAAACGTATTTGCTATCATAGTAAAGAGATGGTGTAAATTAGTTCTCAGCTTGTAACTTAATTTCAAGTTTGGCTTCAGGCTCAGTCTCTGTTCTGAATCTAGAGTCAATTTACTTTTCTTAAACGTGTATCAAGTTGAGCATAAACATTCTATATGAAATAGAACTTTGTATAAAATAATTCAGAAGCATTAAAAAGATTAAATAAACTCATAAATTACATGGCTTACTTCCAATAAAGTAATATTCGATTTGTAAATTAACAACTCCTGGTTCGCTGCTTAATGCAGAGTACAATGTCACTTCACAGATGCCAGTTTTGTTTTCACTCAAAATTCCGACATTGTTTAATATCCAATTTATTTTCGCTTTACAAAGACACAGAGAATAATGACGCTATTTGCGTGTATGGTTTAACATAATGATCAAATGGTCCGTACATCTTAATGGTGAATAGCATTCAGTATTTCTGTAGAATAAGTTAAATTCAGCATAGCTAAGAGCAGTAATTTCCTGATCACAGCATTCCTAACAAAACTGGGTTTGCAAATTCATAGATCAAACAAATTGCAAAACAAACAAATAATACTAAACTTAATAGGAGTGGCAACACTCTGATTGATATTTTAAATTTTTTTTCCACAAAATTTTTCTGCTGTACATGCATTGATCTATTGAATAGTTCTTTGCCATATTGCATAGATGAATTTCTTTGAACCAGTGTCAGAAATTGCATTTTTGTAAACCAAATAGAGATTTAGCAGCAAGCATGTTACCAAAATTAAAGCTATGTAAACATGATGAATTTTCTTGAACTAAACTTTTTTATTTATACGCACTAGATTATTGTTTGTTCTGTTGCAAAGATTGATACCTCTTATCATGAAACGGATTTATTAATCATGTACTGATTCATATTTTATTCTAAATGTTCATAAAATAAATTTCATTTTTGAATTTCTAATCAAATAAATTAAAGCTTTATTCCTATGTCTTTTCTGTGGTGCCTTATGCATGTACTGAACTTGTGCATTAGTACTTTATTGTTATCTTTAAATTTATTCCCAATTGATTTAAAGTGATCAACTTCTGATTAATCAGGGTAATACTGGAGATGATGTCTGTATTTAACTCAAAATCATTGGTAATCTGAGGGAAATTAAAAAAGATATAGGAGATAAAGTTAATGTATTTTGTAATTAACAGAAAAATAGCATCTACATTTTAAGCTGTATTTTAGGCTTTTAAATCAGGAGAATATGTTTGTTCATTTGGTTATTTAAATTAATACCTAAAATTATAGAATAGAATCTGGTCCCCCCTCACAAATTCTCTTCAGCTTTTCCACACAGTTAGTTATCAAAGCATTTGTTGTAGAATGATAAGTTTTTATACATCTGTATCATAGAAGTATAGCACCCAAAAAGAAAACCATTTCTGAACCATTGCTTTCATTTCATAACTTTAAAAGTGCTTACTGTATGGAATCTTTTCAGATGCTGTAAAGCATACTGACTTATCAGAACCATGTCTCATGAGCATGTCATTGATCCAGTTGCTGCCATCCAAAAGATTTGATTAGAAGCAGTAGAACTCTGGCAAGAGAATGCCATGGTGTTAATTGTCAACTGCATGGCAGAGTTCAATCAAAGCCAAATGATATTTCTGAACCATTGTTTTCACTTCATCACTTTGAAAGTGCTTACTGAGTAGAATCTTTTTAAATGTAGTGAGGCATATTGATTTATCAGAAATATGTTGATGATCCAGTTGCTGCCAGCCAAAAGATTTAATTAGAGTTCTGGCAGAAATCCATGAATTTTTGTCAACTGCAAGGCAGAGTTCAATCAGAGTTGACAATATATATATATATATATTTTACAAATGGCGGGCACTTGCCTATAACAGCATTGGCCACTCCCAAGGCCAGGAGCGGTGACTATTTTATTATGGAGGCACCTAGTAGGTGGCCACCGTTACCTCCTATGAAGGGTCAGACAGTTTTACATCCATGCCATCTCCGGGATATTCGAACCCTTTGCTATCGCAGTCAGGCTCTCCTAACCACTATACCATCTGGGCGGCGAGTTCACAGTATACATCATTGTTTATTGTTACCCCTAGCGGCATGATGTCCACTAGCTAAACATCATGTCTGTTGAACATGGTTGCCATAACCTTGACTGCCTGAATTTCTCATCAGAGAAAGTTTTGTTACCGTGCTACTTGGATTCAGGGATAACCAGACACTGCATCAATATCACTTAAGTATGAAGGTGCAAAAGGTGATGCAGTCTCATCACCTTTTTAATAATATTGAATCAAAAATGTCAAAGCAGTGGGTAATCTGTTCATTTTGTGTTCCTTGTTGATTAGCCTTAGAACCCATAATACATCTCCCTATAACCTAAGTTTTTCTGGTTTCCGTAGAACTGATTGGATGTGAAACTTGTAAAAAAACCACCAAGATTCTGGAAATGGTATTTTCATCAAATATGGTATCTGGCATGTACACAATCATATGCAATTACAGATCACCAGCCCAGTCATACATTGGTGTGCAAAAAGTAAGGACGAAGTCGAAAAATTAGCATATCAGCTGAACGAAGAGGCAGAGCGGACAGAAAGACCAATCAGGAGATTAAGTAAGGTGATGTCGGTAGCAAGCGCAGATATGCAGGTAGAACGTTAATGGGGGGAGTTGTGAGTAGTATAAAAATGGCGGTGTGAAGATCAGTATTCTGGCAAAGAGATGCACGCCGTATAGGTAGTTAAATCACACAAGTTGCTGCGCAGCGAGAAGGTGAAAAATAAAGATCACATGTTGTTGCTTTTTTACCCTAGGTCAAATCATTGGAGTTGGGAAGGCCGCAGGTGTGACAAGGTGTGGCCCACAGTCGAATTGCTACACATCGTTTCACGACTTTGGCGACAATTTCAAACTACAGGAAATCTATCCGTGGGTTCAGTAGTGGGTCGTCAAGAGGAACCACACCCGCAGATGACCGGTAAAATTGCTTACAGGCCAAGAAACAGGCAGCAGACAGGAAGAAATATATAGACACATGACACAGGGCGACGGATGACCGATAATTGTTGTTTTACCGTGGCAGCCGGTTGTACCCTCTAACCCTGCCCATCGGAGATGGTGTCTCTTGGTGCCGGAACACCGGAATTGGATAGACATGAGTGGGGACGCGTAGCTCTTACAGATGAGAGCAGATTCAGTCTGAGTAGCAATTCTCATCGCATACTCATCTGGAGAGAGTGGGGAGCCTGCAATCATCCCTCGACTCATGAAAGGGACAGGTTGGAGGTGCGGTGTGTTCTCGTTTGGGAGGCATCATGCTTTCTAATCGTACAGACCTCACATCTTCGATCAGTTCAGTCACGACTGTTATTGTAATGAGATTCTTCTCCATATGTCGTCTTTTAGAGGCGCTATGGGGTCCGCAGTTCCTTGTCATGGACGAAATGCACAATGTCATCGCACCAGTAGCTGCCGAACAGCTCTTAAAGTGAGGATTCTGAACGTATGGATTGGCTGGCAAGATCTCCGGATGTCAATCCCATCAAGCATGTAGGGGTTTTTTCTAGGCAGATGCTGGGCAGCTCTACCTTACCACAGTACGATTCCGGAGCTTCGATTGTTTTCTGCAGACGAATTGGCAGGCAATCCTCAACACTCACTGACACCCTCATTCTCAGCATGGGCAGTGCTTGAAACCTGCTAGCAGTCGGGGGAGATCATATCCCTATTAGACTGTATGTTTCTTGCTGGGCACCCATTAGAGGGATGTTGCGCCTTCCAGTCGATTGCCCTCTATGCTACTTTTTCAATAAAGCTTCTTTTTATCCCTCTGATTTCTCTTTAGTAATGTTGCTTACATTACTCATGTCCTTACGTATTGGGGATCTTACGTATTAAATGTTTGATTTGGAAAGCTTTTGTACAAAGTTATATTGAAAAAACCGTCTCGTCCTTAATTTTTGCACACCAGTGTAGTTTATCATGTGCAACTTCTAAACCTTTCTTAAACAGCTTTACCAGCTCACACATTTTGTAATGACATTTGGACCATACACTTCACAGATCTGGAAGAAAACCTTCGGCAGTTTTTTATAGTCAAAAAGTAAATAATGGACTTCATTTCAGTAACGCTAGCCACTCATTCTTAAACATTTTCATCCCATGATATAAAATGCACACTTTCAAAATCGCATCTGTTTGTTTGCACAATTATGTATGTGGAGGCTTCAAAGTAATTTTGCAAAATGATCTTTACAAAATGATCCATATTAATGTATATGTACATTATTTAAAATACTGAATGATCTTTTGAAAATTTTCTCACAATATTTAATGTACAATTGCATAAACAATCTTATTAGATGAGCAGTAAACATCAATTACCTGGTGGGCAGTGAGTTCAGTTTATTTTTGTGTGTGGTATATTGAAATTGATTTTGTAAGTATGTATATATGCTCTAAAAAATGAAATAGTGGAAATAAATTGACTGAGAAAAGATTTTTTGGTTTCTATGATTTTGCACTTGCCCTACTTCAATTAATTAAAAGGGGTTTTACTGTAATTATTTTATTTAATGAACATACTTGTATTACATGAAATTATAACTGTAATTTGTTTTCTGCTACTAAAGAAACTGAATTCTAAATTATTTTATAGAGTGAATCAGTATTCATACCTATTAAATATCATGATGGTGGTGAAAAAAGCAGTGGAAATGAATCGGATGATTCATCATCTAAACAAAGTATGTGAATTATTTTATTAGAGTCCTTTTAATGCATTAATTACTCATATAACAAAAGCCCCCTTCAACAAATATTAAAAAATATTAAAAAATTTTGTATAAGCATGATAACATGTAGGTGGATTAAAAAAATAGGTTACAAGCATCAGCTTTTGAAAAGTAATTACTGTGAAAGGAATACTTTATCCCCAGAGTGTAGGCAGATGGCACTAGTTGTCTAGCAGCAGTTTTGTGGGTAGGTACAGTAAGTTCACAGATGTGTCAGAGCGATTGAAATAGCAAGATTTTTAGAAAAGTGGTCTCGCTTGGAGGTGTGAGCTGTGATTCATTGTCCTAATTGAGTATCTGAAGCCTGTTACTGCTGATTGTTACTGTGCCACTAAGACAAGGTTGCGTGAAGCCATCCGACACAAATGCCCTGACATGTTGAGTGATGATGTCATTCTCCTGCATGGCAATATCAGGCTCCATACTGCTCACCAAACTCAAGAATTGTTGCAAAATTTTAAGCGGGAGTCACCCCCCTTCTCATATAGCCCAGTTTTAGCACCCAGCAACTATTTTCTTTTTCTAAAACTGAAGGAACATTTATCTGGAATGAGGTCTTCAGACAGTGATATGAAAACAGCCACTGAGAATTGGCTCAATTCGTAGAGATGTGATTTCTACAAAGACGGGTTTAAGTAAGTTGCTCCTGCGTTAAGGTAAATGCCTAAACAGATTTGGTAATTATGAGGAAAAATGATACTCAAGTACTCCTCTTAGTTTCCTTTTATATTTTCTATCTGTTGTTAATAAATATTTTTTATTGACAATTATATATTATTGTAACCTTTTTTTTTTTTTTTGGATCCACCCTTGTATATACACTGGTCATTAATATTAAAGGATAATGACAGAAATAAAACTTAACTGATACTGAATGAAAAATTATTAATAGAAATTGTACAAAAGCATTAGTTAACATAAATTACAATATCTGGCAACTGATTATTCGTAAAATATTGAAATTAAAATAAAATTTATGAAAATTGGAAAATGACGAAAAATTAAGTCACCTATTGCAGAAAACATTTTTTTTAATATGGTGTATGGTCACCTCGAACAGGTATGCATACCTGACATCTTGATTTCATAGACTTTACCGAAGTGTTGAACATTATGGAATTATACATCACTCTTCTAAATGTGCGGGTCAAGTTGGACAGAACCTTCTTCAAGGATATGCAGCTTGGTGCAGCCATTTGTGATGATGCCTCCCCAAACAAGTAAACCGCGATCACAGAAACAGATATTTCATGGACAAGGAGAGGCAAGTAGCATATTCCTTCTCTCTGCAGATCAAAATACACCTAGAATTACTCTTCAGACTATATCTGGACTTGTCAATAAACAATACTCTGGCCCAGTTGTTTTGGCTCCATTGAATATGAAGATGACATCTGTTTAAATGGGCTCCTCTGGATGCTAGTGTGAGTGGGACACAAACAGTTAGTTTTTCTCGCATACAGTCCAACCTCATTAAGCCTTAGTGCAACAGTAGAATGGCTAATTTGATTTCCTGTGACAGCCTGGAGGTCTAAAACCAAATCTCTTGTAGTCGTTTCGTGGTCACTTTGAGCCGACGACAGAAAATGGTCTTCTGATGCAGTTGTTGCACATGGTCGCTCATGAACAGGTGGTCTGTCAACTGATCCACTGATTAAAAAGCAGCTCCAAACTTTCAATATGACACTTTGAGGGATACTCAAATTTTGGGTGACCTCTTTTGATTTTACCAAGTATTCACTACTTTTGGCCTTCACTTAAATGATGCCTTCGAGCCATAACTACTGAATACTGATTAGTCTCAGACACCGCATTGCCAATCACCAAATTAGCACATTTCTGGCGCTAAGAGCAATTTTATGTTAATTTGTATTTAATTAACATAAATAATTACAGCATTGGGCATTGGTTGTGACATTAACTTAGCATATTTTTTCTCATCTTCCTTTAATTTTGATGATCAGTTTAATTTGTGGTTTCTAAAAGGGACACATTTTAATTAGCTTCTATTTGCAACCTTTATATTGAAAGCAAATTTTTTTCATAAAAGCATAACTTCTACAAAGATTTGAACTTTGAAAATCTGAATAAGTAATGTTAGGTCTGTAAGTTAAAAGTATGGTCAGTTTCACTTTAAGTACTGTTAGTAATAACTTTTAGATATTTTGTAATCAGTTGTTAGTCTTTTCTAGTGAAAAAATACTTCATATAAACCTTTTTAAATTCTTGACCATATAAGAAGTTGTTCACACTTTACATTTTGAAATAAAATAAAAGTTCCAGAATTTTTGCAAAAGGAAATTTTCTCTTTATTTTTGGTAGGTGTTAAATCTGTACACTTTAACCAAGTCACTGAAGTTCGTCATTTATCAGGTATTTATATATTATTTAAAACTGCTTAATTGATAACTGTAATTTTTTGATAGAATTACGTGTCATTAAATGAATCAATTAAATCATTTTATTAAATCAGAATCACAAGCTGATGATGCTTTATTGGCACGGCTGTCCTATGCAGCTTCACTTAGAGCTCAAGAAAGTGCTTTCAGGGCTGCCAACAAATTACCAATGAAACAAGTCGCAAGAATTGCACTACTTTTCTGCATATTGGTAAGTTAGATAATGTGACTGAAATTAAGTTATATAGAGATTAGCATTACATGGAAAAGCTCACTTAAAAGAATTTAACCATTTTCTTGTGCTTTGGTTTTTTACACAGTTTCATGCTTTTTTTTTTTTTTTTTTTTTTTTTTTATCAACAATTGAATTGCTTTAAAGTTGGGGTTTATTTCACATTTTGTGAACTGTGTGATATTTATTACATATGTTTTCCTTCAATGTACTTAACAAATACTTTTCTAAGCTATTTAGAAGTAAAATTTTCATGAAATTTATCCTTCCTAGAACATATATAATATGAAAATCGGAAGTAACTCTTATAATGCTGCTGTTACTTATCTTATTTAAATTGCTAAAATTTTCCTTCCAGTGGTTTTTGGGTAATCTTTCTTATCAAGAAGCACTGTCAAACACTGAAGCAGGTATAGTCAATATCTTATCATGCTCATCAGGATTATTCACACTTATATTGGCATCAATATTTCCTGCAAACAGTGGAGATCGGTTTACACTTTCAAAATTTTTAGCAGTTGCCATGAGGTAAGTAGTTATCTTCATCCTGTTAATTTTGCTGAATGTAAAGCATTTTTGAAAATCTGTTATATTTTAATTTTGTTTTGACAAATATGTGCCAAAAAAAAAAAAAAAACTTCTTTGAATCTGCATTTTCTAAATTAAAAAATTTCTAGTTTTCTTTCAGTCATGACATTACTTAACTCTGTTTTTGATTCATAACTTCCCCCCCCCCCACTTTAATATGAAACACTGTTGAAATTGTAGGAATTTCTGCCAGAAACAAACTGTTGAAAAATTCTAATATTCGGAGTTATAATTATTATTTAATGCTTTCTTGTTTTAAGCTTTATACAGGTTGGTTATAATTAAAGTGACCCTATTCAGACCTCTCTAGAACCTGTTGTACTTATTGAATTTTGATGAAATTTGGTATATATGTTATGCGGACTATGGGAAAACGATTTCTGCAATTAAAAAAATAGTTTGACATGGGCCCTTTTCACAATTCCTTTAACCGATGCTATTCACGCAATGCAGCTAAGCTATTGCTGGCATTCTGATAAAAGAGTTTTACCAGTAGAGCTTCATAATTCTTCTGTAAGGACATGATTAACAATGACAAAGGCATGCAGAATGTTTTTTTGGCTGTGACTGCAAGTCTCTTTATATGTTTGACGAATTTGTGTAAGAAATTTTTGAAAATTTCCATCTGGTGGTCAAAATTTGAACTTTTTTTTTCATAAATCTTTTCCCCATGGTCCATATAACGTATATACCAAATTTCATCAAAATCCGATAAGCAGAACGGGTTCTACGGGGGATCTGAATAGGGTCACTAATTATAACTACCCAGTACCTTCTTATACATTAAAGAACAGTTTTTAAATTGTTTTCTTATTTACCAAACAAATCGCATTTCTTAGAAGTCAAGCTACAAATTGTAGATATAGTAATTAAATGCACCTGCTGTTACTGCAGTTCCTTTCCATTAAGTGATGTATATATCAATGGAAAATGATTTGAACATAGCATCAGAGATTCTGTATTATAACATGACTGTAGTTAACCGATAGTTGTTGACTGTCATGAATCTAGTATTTCACAGTAGCTGAAAGCATATGTAATCAATTAAATTTAACTTTTGATTTAAATGTTTTACTGAAATGAAATATTGACCTGTCAATAGACTTGAAAACCAACAAAATTCTTTTTTTTAAATGATCTTCTTGTGCTAATGTGTTTCATTTTATCTGTTCGTCCAATTATTCTTCTTGCAAAATTTTTATTCACCTAGAAAATCTCAGGAATTTATGAAAAATTGGCAAAATGAAAAAAACATCAGAGAAAACCCAAGGAAAATATAAACTTTTTCCTTTAAAGTTCTGAAAAAAACCAGAAATTTTTTCCAAAGAATCAAATTAAAAAAGGTATAGATCAATCATCTCAAGTAATAACAAAGTTCAGTTTTAAATAGGACTTAGTGACCAAAAATGAACCTTCTTAAAAGATGGAAATTAAGAATTTTTGTAATGTTCAAATTTTTCCAGAGAATTTTTCATGGCTCTCATATTTGATGCAATTCTATCATTTCATAGCTTTAATTAGCTAGTTACCTTAACAGTGACTATTAACTCTCTGTTCAGAAGTCTTACATTGTCGTTACATTGCTACACCTTGTAATAAATGTCTGTTAATTTAATTTTTTTTAAATCATGTCATGTTAATTTTTTTTCTAAGCTCATCATTTTTATTTTAAAACACCCAAAAAATCTTCAATAGGAATCATTTAAATTTCTTTTGTAAAATTAACAGCCCCTTGAATTTAATATTGTTTTAAAACCCAACGTACCTTAACGTAGTTTACATGCATATTTCCCCTATACATTTCTTACGTATATATTTGTTTGACGGTAATCAGTCTGATAAATTAAAATTTCATGATGTTCTTAATTATTGCCCTGCATTTTGTCATAAACATGTAAAATTATGTATTTGCTTATACTTGACTTGATAATTAGTTCATTATGTGTAATCAGGTTAACTGCTCTATTTTGGTCATCGAAAACCAATTCAGTGAGGTAAAATTAGTTGAATTTCAGTGGGAATCCTGTCGTGTCCACTATTGTAATTGTATGCATCATGGAATTAAATCATGCTGATAAAAAATGCCTGAAGTGTTGAAGCAGTGGCTATAGATATTGCCTGTAGTGCACTGCTTATTTTAAGAATACGAGGATCTCTTCTGAGGTGTTCCTATCTCTTTTCCTTTGTTACATACTTTTCTTTGTGTATATTTTTAGTGAAAATGAATGGAAACAATTCACAAAATTATGCTTTGAAAGTAATTTATCTTTTAAAACATTTGTAGCATTTTTTTCATTTGTATATGTACATAATTTGTACATACATGTACATTAGGTATTACTGTTAGAAATGTTTATTTTAGTAGTTTGGTGACTATTGAAGTTGTATAACATGTTGTAGGATTAACCATTTACTTCTCTGTGCAAAAGTCTTCACAAAATGATGATGTTGTGCTTAGTAGCAGATTAAAAATGTGTTCTTTTTCAGAATAGTTATTTAATGTTTTGATGCATCTCTTTAGTGTGATATTGCATTGTTTTAGGAATTTTTAACTGCGTGTTTTTGATAATTTGGTAAAATGTAAAAGTGTTAATAATCATGTCCTCTCGCCCTGTAGTTAACCCTTTGTTGCATACAAATAATCTAGAGAAGTTAAACGAAAATGTTTGTATTTTTTTCTACTTAAAATAACCTTAGTAATAATATAAAAAATTATTTTATTCAAATTTCATTTGAAATAATTGCTACACTTTATTCACTACAGTGGACAGCATACATACAAATCTCTTCCCACCGATTTACGGTCATTGCATTTGAAATCATTTCCTGCCTTGTTTGCAGTGATCATTACCATCTTCTAAATGGTAAATCTGCAACTGACATGTACATACAGATCCCCCAAAATACCTTAATTTCATCCATTTTGATTGAATTCATTTTGCTACGATTTTGCTACGACCTGTACCTATTGGATTCAAGTGTCAAATGTTCTATAAATTCCTTGCCAAACATAAACATTCCCAGTAGTGTTTTGGCTCGATAAGCAGTACATTTGGGTTTCAATTCACTCTTTTCGATAGATCTTTATCTACATCACTCCACAATTTTCTCAAACTGACATTTAAAATAAAATGTCTAAAATTACTAATCATGAACAAAAAATCGCAGTATAAGAAAATGTTAAAAATTATATCAACTTTTTACTATTCAAATCTTTAGATCATTAAATAGATAAGTGAAAATTTACTTACCTTCTAAAGGGCTGCCCTGAACTGCCTTGCTTTCCTTTCGATATCCATGCTTATGCTGAAATTCGATTCACAGCAGAACACTGCTATAAACGTTTTTTAAGAAGTTTTAATTAACATGTGAAGGATATTTACAAGTTACAATCAATACAACCATTATGTTTCTAATATATACTGAGATGGTCTGTCGTTGCGACTGATGTTAGATGCGTCACCAGTTCAACTAACTACTTTTTGTCTCTTCCGCCAGAGGACGTTCGTGGAAGCTGAGTTATTAGTATACAAACGTGACATTAGTGTTGTTCAACATTCAAAAATTAATTTTTTAGTATATGTAATTGGTTTTACTCTTATGTTTTATGTGTATATAGTAAAGTGTTGTTTTCTCTTTCTAATAATTATGAGCAGCATAGTTGGAGTATCAATAATATCAAGTGAAGATAAAGGCATGCAAAATTTCTTTCCCCCTGGAGCTGTTTGGTCTATTCTTGGAGCCTTCTTTTATGCTGCTTATGTTGTGTTGCTGAGGAGAAAAGTGGATAGTGAAGAAATGTTAGATATTCCTATGTTTTTTGGTAAGTAATTTCTGTTCTGTTAAATTCTGTCTTCTCTTTGCAAAGCTATGCTTTTTGTCTAATACCTTCACTTTGTAATTAGTTTTTTAATTAACTTTTGTAATTAAAAAAATTTCATTATTTTTGTAAATCTAAGGTATGTTATAATTTTAATTTGTTGTTAGAAAATAAATTAAATTTCAGGTCTTTTAACTAGTTAAAATCAGGTACTTTACTTTTCTGTAAGTACTGAATATTCTGTGCATTTAATGTATTTACCAGTGTATGCTTACCAAATTTATGCTGAGAGTTTTCATATTTTCATTTTTTGTTCCAGAGCTCATAAAAGTTATTTTCATTTTGATAAATCTAGTATTTTTATGTACAGTAATGCAGTTTTTTTTAAAAAAATTTTGTACAATTTTGGAAAATTGCAAATAAAATGGCTTTAAAAAAGTCATATTTTATGTAATAAAATGTTAGCAGATTTCTTAATAAAGTATTTTTATTGTAAAAGGTTTTGCTGAAACTCTGTATTCAAGTATTTTATATAAACCATTTTTTTATCCCAATAACATTGATTTTATTTACTTCTATCTTCATTTTGCATAATTTTTTTTTAAAAGCTAGAAACTATTACTTGAATCTGTAATGTTTGCGTGTATTGCAATTTTCAGATAATTTCAAAAATTCATTGATCTTTTATTTGTTTGATTACATATACGTATACTTGAAGGCCAAAAATAAAACCTTTTAAATCCATTGCTAAATTCTGGATTAATAGCATGCTAATTCTGAATATGTAAATGAAATTAAAAAATTAAATAGGTCATTTCTGCAATAATTGCAAAGAATAGACATATCCAATTTTGAAAATGGGCATAGCTGATACTGTATCTATCAGTGTCATCTTGGAGCGCTGGAACAAAATATGATGAAAGTTTGTATTTTCAAGATTTATGCGATTTCTTGGGTGTAACACGTTATTTTACTCAGGAAAAAAGATTTAAGAATTAGCAATTTCATATAAATTGCTAAAAATTAGATTGCTTTTATCAAATAATATTGCAATGATTACTAGATATTCTGTATTTGTTGATACTGCAATCGAAGCAAATATTGCCAACTAGAAGTATGCATATATCTTGGAATAGGTTTTTAATTATTAAATATGAAATTTAGTGTTTCTGATAAATTTGTATTTATTATTTATGTTAGTGGATGTATTTTGGTGAATAGGTATTTTAAATAATTTTTAAGAGTCTATTGAAATATTAGTATATTCTAATTAATATTTCTTAATTATAGTAAATATGGTTTTATTCAAACAGGTTTTGTTGGCTTATTTAATCTGTTATTAATGTGGCCAGGATTTATTTTCTTGCATTATACAAAAGTAGAAGAATTTCAGTGGCCTTCTCAACACCAGTGGTTATTGTTACTGTGCAATGGATTGATTGGTACTGTATTTTCTGAGTTACTTTGGCTTTGGTAAGTAACTATGTAAGGAACAATTTTCAATATTTTCTACACTGTAGAATTTCTTTGAAGCATTTAACTTATTAAACAATATTTTCATAAACTTTTGAGTTTAACTCTTCATGTTGAATTTTTCATGATTTTTTTCTAGTTTTAAACATTTAAGATTAGACTCATTTTAGATACTATATTTGCATTGTATTTTGTTGAAACTGAACCCTTAAAAATGTTTACAAAAATTGTCAGCACAAAGTGTTTTTATCTAATAACAAAGCAGTAATTAGCCTAACAGTTCATCTGTTGTGAATGACAATCTTTCTATTCCAAGTGCTTGACAAGTCACTACCACCCCATAACAGAGGAACAGTGTTGTATACAGTACTGTGTAGCATAGCTGTAAGAATTATTAGAAATTACTGTCATATTGCATAATTTAACGTCCCTTATGAGGTCAGACAATCACAGTAGGCTTGCAGCTTTGGCTAATCCCATAACTAATAATCATGTAACTGAAATCTTAGGGACCTGGAAAGCCAAGCATGATGAAAGTGGTGTCTCAGCACAAAGTCCTTACCAACAATGGGCACAAAAGATCTTTCACATGTGTAGCAGTATGAGGTGGTGCACCATCCTGCATAAAAGTCATAACATCTAACAGGTGTTTATCAGTCAGGCTAGATTTAGTGTAATCCTGTAACGTATCAGTTTACTGCACACCCAACAGGCTTACAATTTGAGAAGCAGGACACTGCACTTCCTCGAAGAAAACGGGCATGATCCTGCAGTAAATCAAAACCACACCCTGATATTCTCTTCTCTGGTTGCAGGGCTTCCTGAGCAGCTCTAGGTTTATTAGTAGCCCAAATTCTGAAATTGTGGGAATTGATGCAGTGAGCAGAAATGGGCTTAATGTGTCTTAATTATGGGCTTTGCTCTGGTCTACAAATGTTGAACAACAAGTCATCATCTTCATCTATTTTATGAAAATGTCCCCACTGCATATATTTTCCACATCACAACAGTCTAAGACATCTCTGAATTTTGTATGGATAGCAGTGGAGGGTGCTGTCATCACTAGGGTATCTGATTTCCTCCCTTCTTTAAGCTGGATTCTAATGTGGCATCATTGATGTTTTCCTGTCCAGTGTCATCTGTTGGCCATTTTTTATAATTAATTTTTGTACTTATGATTTCTATAATACCTCATGTCATTTCAAGCTTTATGTGTTAATTTTTATCTCTCTCTATATGTTATTCAATGAATTATTCGATTTTTAAATGTTAACCAACTTTTGGATCACTTTGCATATAAAGTGTGATGTGGGTTCCATATCTACCAACCTTTGTATTTTGTGCATAAAATATACATATCACCCAATTATTTTCAGAGATTACTGCTGAACATAAGTTTTAGCCTCTTCAAAATTTAATTGATAAGTGTTTATTTTGGTCTTCGAAAGTGAAAATATGCATAATTTTATTGTCTAAAAATCTGTATGTAAGCTCATATAAAAAATCCTGCATAGTTTAGCCCAGAAGCCTCACTTGTCTCAAAACCTTGAAAATAAATTGAAGCTAAGTGCTCCTAAAGTAGTTTTATAATTAACTAGGTGTACCCGCCCGGCGTTGCCCGTGCATTTAGAAAATGCAGATAAGTGAATAGCGCAGGAATAGTAGTGTAGGACATGTAGACTGTCTCTCTCTCTCCCCCCCCCCACAGCTACAAAAAAGAAATGAATTGTAAGTAATCGATTAATGTATCGTCAAAACAGCAAACTAACGCTAAATAAAGAAATCAATTGTAAATCGAACGTTATTTGAAACAAATAATAATATCAGTGAGTCAAAAAAACCGTGATTAATTAATTATAAAACTTAAAATTATTATTTAAGTTAAAGAAATTCAAAAATCGAAAATCGGGCTTCGAGGTCTGGTGGCCAGCCCCTTTGTGCTTCCGTTATAAAATTCCAGGTCCCTGGTGCGATAGATTTGGCTGGAGAGCTCGGTCAGACAGACAGACACATTACACTTACACTTGCTTTTATTATTATAGATGAATGATCCAAATATAATTGTGTAATTAAATTTAATATGCAAATATGCTTTCATTAAGTTATTACTATTTAAGAAGTAGTGATATATTTTGATACAATTATTTTATAAAAGTAAATGATAAGGCTTTTTTTTTTTTCCTATACACATATAGATTGTTAAAGTCTCTTCTCTCACTAGATTCATGAAATTTTACTGGTACTCATGTTCCCAAGTTGGCAGGTGTATGCAACATGAATTTGTAAATCTTGCTGTGGGCTGTTCTCGATTCAATGTTAAATGTTGTAATTTTTTTCCCCAGGGGCTGCTTCCTAACATCATCTTTGATAGCAACATTATCTGTGTCATTAACTATTCCATTTACTATATTCTTTGACATATTCTTAAAGAAGGTAAATATTTTCTCTTTAGCTAGCTAGTATTATCAGGAATTATTTTGTTGTCAACTAGACTTTGGTTACTTTAACTCATGAATACCACTTGTGTTTTGTGTTTATACTTTTTGTTAATTATGAAGCCAAATTCTGCTAATCTGCCATGTATTTTCAAATTTAGCATCTCCCCATTACTCAGAGTGAAGGATAGTGACCAAAGAAATCTAAATGGAAATGTGCATATAGTGAAAAGGGCTGAGAATACTTATAAAGTGTTTTAACTTTTCATATTATCTGTGGTAGACATTACTTAAGGCAAACTGCCAACATTGTGATTTTAGAAGAAATTCCGCAGAACGTAAAAGTTTTATAATCTTACATTACTTACTAGTGCTTTTCCCCTCCCAACTCACCACTGAAATGTAGAAACTTAGAAAAATATGTATTTTAGGTACTTTATCAGTATTGCAATAAATCACAGTAACAATATTTTATAATATGTCATCATTGAACAGAATAACTTTCTAGAAATTTGAATCTCAGTTTTTCCAAGATTAAGAGTACAAGAAAAGATAAGAATGTCTTTGCACACAGTGCATTTAGAGCCGTGTAACTGAATGATTGTGACATTCACTAAACTAACATAAAATTTGTGAATGAAGTTGCTGCTATTTGTGAGTGAAGTGTTATCATTTTCTGCAGTATTTAGTTTCTTTTATAAATTTTCATATTTGCATCATCAGTTTCTGAGAGAGAGATAGTGATAATGCTGCTTTTTGTTTGTAATCAGTGTAAATGTTTTACTTCATAAATTTTAGATTTTGAGAGCACTGTTGTAATACTAGTATCTACGTGAATCATGATTTATAAAACTTTTTACTGAATTATTGCATTTGGATATTAATGGGTCCACACGCAACCAAGGGGAAAGTCGCTGAACACTGGTAATTCGGTCCAGGGTTTGCATCCTGTCAAACAGGTTGGCTGCATGGGCATTTTCATGTTTTTCTCTATGTGTAAGATGTATATGAGCCAGTTCCTTCATGAAGGCATCCCTTCCCTAATGCGAGGCAGATAGCCCTTGAGTGCTTTGCCATAATTAAATAAACCAAACCAAAACTTGGATATAAATATATGTCATCTAAGATGCAGGTGGTGTAATGATTGTTTTAGACTATCAGAAGCTGAGTTTTGTGTAAGATGAAGTAGTAAAAATGATAAAAAAATTTAAAGTGAAGAAGCTGTCATTCTAAAAATACCAACACATTATGGAAGTTCATCAGTTTGATTAGATACCTTCCAGGTACATATCATAATGAAATATTGGTTGGAATGGAACCCATTTTGTCCAGCCTAGGTTATCCAGGGTCTTTTGTCCAAGTGGATTTTGAGTAGCCGCAGTTTGAGAAAGCTCCAAAAAGTCCTTATAGATTCTTCAAACATTTTGCTCTGCTTGGAGCGGATGCGATGCCGTATTTTTCTGGAGTCTAGCTGTTCTCTGTTGAACCTAACTTACTGTCAGTTCATGAGCATGTCATAGTTTTCTGGAGTCTAGCTGTTCTCTGTTGAACCTAACTTACTGTCAGTTCATGAGCATGTCATAGTAAAATGGACCAGTATTCTGTCAACTGTGAGTTGATTTTGTATTTTTTTAATACTATTTTATTTGTTTTTAACCCTCCGAGCATTACAAGTTTAGAAGTTTAGCTCTGAAGTTTCAAAGTTGGTCAGAATGTCATGAATAAATGGTATTTTCTTGATTATAATTAAAAAACAACTCTCCTACTTTTGTACCTTGATTCCTTTTCTTCCAATCTACGTTCAGCTTGAAATCTGATGCATTAAAAGCTGGCAGAAATTTTCATGTGTAATGAATATGCAAGTTGCCTTCTATGCAAATTTTCTTGTCTATAACACTGAGAGGGTTAAGGAGGATAGTTTTCTTTTACTTTAAATGAATTTGTACAAAAAATTTTTAATTTTGTAATTAATGGAAAATTTGAGAGGGCTTAAAATATTAAAATGTATAGAAGTTTTAATTTTTAAACTACCTAAATTTGTGAAGACTGGAATATATAAAAATGATGAATAAAAAAAAAAAAAAAAAAAAAAAAAAAAAAAAAAGAGGAGTTAGAGTATCAACTGTGAATTTATTATTATAGAATTTGTTATTAAGGGTTTAATTTAATAAATTGCTAAATGTCAGAAGATGCATAAGGCTTTTTTTTTTTTAATTCTAGAGAGGGCAGCTGTATGTTCATCAATTTAAAATGTGAGTACTTTTAAGAGACAGTAGGGTTTGGCTCATTATCCTAGTTACATGAATGCTTATTTAACATTGAGAAAATTAATAAATGTGTTTATTGTTAAATCTTGTACGTGTTATTATGATTTGGTGGTCTACTGTGGTTACTTTGCATGTTCGAAGGGAAGTTTTTAGAAACTTTGGAGATTTACTTACTTGGGCTTATTTATAAAAACACAATGCAAAAGTACTAACTACTTTTTTATATGATTTATTTTGAAATCTTGATATTAAAGTGAACTGGATGGATTGATAATTATGTGTAGATATTTCTTTGTGTTTTTGTGAAGCTGTGTATTAACACATTGAATTTGTGGCTATAACTAAGCTGTATGAAAATTATCGTGTATGTGGTTTGTGATGATTTATAGGATTCTTATGAAATTTGATATTGTGTTAATATTGTATTATATGTGGAAAACATGAGTTTTGATTTTGAATACCAAGTCACAGTAGAAAATATATATTTCTTATTTTCAGGTTGTAGAGTTATTAAATTTGAATTTTTAATTAAATTCTTTATTGTAGAAGTTATATATTTATTGAATTTAATATGGAGTTAATCATCCAGGCCTCACAATATAAGAGCTATAATTTAATTTTTTTTCCTATGTAACATTGGTGCCGTTACTTTGCGACTGGTAGACTACTATAAATGTGTCTTTTTCATTTATGTATTTAATTTTATTGTTTATGGATTTTATGTGAGTATTGTTTATATTTTTGAGTAGAACTGATTTATCATGTTCTCTGCACACCTAGCTCTTTGCATTATATTCCTCACACAGCCATTTTATATGTTTATTGAAATAGTGAATTTTTAACTCCTTAAGTTTGTTAGTAGAATTTAGGGACTTTGTGTACAGTTGAAATGAAATAAAAATCAGAAATTTTTTTAATTGTTAATGTTTATTTAAGTTAAGATTAGTTAGAATTGTAAAGCTGCTTGGACCAGTTAGGATATACAAAATTGGATTTTCTTGAGTTTGGGCTATCAGCTTGAGTGAAATTTTGTGATTGCCTTTAACTTTCAGGCTGGGTGTCCCATATATGCATTCCGTACAAACATCTCTCACAGCCGGGTGTTCACCCAACGCATCACTGGAGAACAATGCAAGGGACAGGTGAAACATGTATGAATTTTGAGCTGTAACATGTTTCAAAGATAACTATATGGCATCCTAGATCTATTACATTTGAACTAAATATGGTTTTAGGATCCTGACCTTTAGTTTGATCACATTCTGTATAACATTGGTGTAAGCTGTTACAGAGGAGGAAGCAAAGCATAATGTAAACAAACTGAGTTGCTCCGTTCTTTAACTCACCACGTGATGTAAACATCCGCTGTTCTGATATCCCTTTGAATCCTTTTTTTATTCTTTTTTCCTACTATGTAGGGTCTTTAAGGGTTACTGTGTTGGGTTCTATTACACTTTGCATTGCTTTTATCACTTATATTTCTCGTAATTCCGCTTTTATTTCGGAAGACCTTTACTTCAGTTTATTATGGCGAGAAAGGTTATTTATCAGAGTGACATGGAGGAGAATGATGATTCATTTTCCAGAGTTAGCAATATCTCTCGTGATTCTCATATGGACATTTTATCAGAGATTGAGTGTCGACCTTTTACTTCCTGTGAAAGATTTTAGTACTTCTCTTGTAAATAGTCTTTCTTGTAATTTTTTTAATTAATTTTAAAGTTTATGCATTTTGTCAATTAAAACTTCAGAATAATTTGAATAGCACTTCCAAAAATTATTTCTCTAAGTAAGCAATTTGTTTTTCATATTTTCATGTAAAGGAAAAGAATTATTAAATGCTCATTTTAACATATATAATACCTGAAGTAATAATCTAAAATAGTACCAAAAATTACAATATTAGGACTTAATTTTTTTCGTGGTTTACTGCTTAACGATGCGAAACCTCCCATCCTGTAGATGATTCCTCTTGAATCCCATCCGTCCATATGGGACATCTTAAACGAAGGCACGCCATCTCGAAAGGATTTAGCACTTAACTGTTTCATTTTCCTTCCATATTGTGACCAAAATAAGCATATTTTTTATAAACAATTTTGTATTTTAATCAATTACATGAATTCAAATCAGCAGTCAAAAACTGTTACAAGTATTGCATATATTAATTTATGATATTTTTTAAATTACGTCAAAATTAAGGCATTTTTACTTAAAGTTGGCTTTTTTCTGCGAAACTGGAACAATCACTTTACAGGAAATAAATGTGAAAGTATATCCTGACAGGGGTGGAGGATTACTAGTATTCCTTTCACAAAAGTTCTGAACCTGTATTAGATCATCTGAACTGTCTGTTTCTTCATCATCACTAGAGAATTACGGTAAAGAACTTTCAGGACTACCAGAATCATTTATAGAAAATTCAGATTCGCTATCTTATCCAATATCAGAATTATATTTTTTATGAGCCATTCAGTGTCATCCATCATTCTTTTATTACATGACAAAAATTGGGAAGAAATACTATTCTTACAGCCTAATGCACTGAACACATGCAAACAAACTCATTGAATTTCTTGGTCTAATGAAAAGCAGCAACACCTATCCTTAAACTGATTTTACAATCCAATCTCTTCTGGACTATTAGAGACCTCTATTAGAAGCACTGCAAAGTAAAAAATGTGAAAAAGGCTGGGAAAATCTGTGGATTTGTGTAGGAAAATACACTGACCGAGTGGTGTACAGGAAAATAAAAATGTCCCTTTTCGCGACTCTCGAATGGTGTTTGGGCAAAACAGTTAAGTGGTTAATGAGATAGATCAAGTTTTGTGGATTTTGTGAGTAATTATTATTGTTAGAGAGAAATTGTTAAACAGTAAGAAGTGTCAAGTTTATTGTTTCACAAGAATAAAAAATGTGATTTTTGTGGGAATTTTTTTTTGACTTGGATTGAGATGTTTTATTTTTGACTTTAAATCAGATTAAAGGATAATTACTCTTATTAATTCTGATTTCTTCTGATTACTCTTATTGATTCTTATCTGATTAACAAGTTTGAGTTTTAATAGTTACTAAATTTCAGTTTTTGATTGAACTTGTTGCAGAGTTAAGGTGTAAGTTGTTGCAGAGAAAAAGTCTATCTGTTGATAATTTTTATGTTCTATGAGTTGTTTTTTTAACTTAACTTCAGTTCAGTCTTGGCTTATTCCTTTGACAGCTTTCAGAATTTTAATTGATTTGATTGTTAATTTTGAGTACAACTTTGAAGTGTTTGGCAATGATTCCTTAAGGAACTATCATTTTTCGATTTCATTTAACTGGGTTGTCACTAGGGGCTGTGTATGCTTCCGAGATTTAGCTTAGTTTCAGATTTTTTGTCTTTATAGTTGGTAAAAGTTTAAAGAATTTTTTGGTTAGTTCAATCTTCCACCTCCCGTTTTCAAGTTAAGCTTGTCTAATTTTTTTTTTCTTCTTGTGGTGCCAGAGATTCTTTTGGCCAAATTGTTGAGAATTCTGATTCTTGCATTTTTCTCTCTGCTTCATTTTCTTCTTTGGTTTAGTGTTGACTGCTGGTGACTTATGGTGCTAAAGCATGTGTTATTTACTCACATGTATTTAGTTTTTATTTTCTGTGTACAGGTTAGGTAAGGTAGTTAGTAATTAAGTGTAGTAATGACACTTCAATCTTGCTGTTTGATTATTTTTTATACTATTTGAGTTGTAGTTAAATTTTTTGCATAATTTTCCGATTATTTTGTATGTAAATTTAAAATTGTCATGTATATGTTTATCACTGACTAGTATTTGATTTGTAAATTGTTTGGTACATAATCTTCTACTGTATTGATTAGGTTGTTCAACTGCAAAATGTTTGTTTCACGAAAGTTTTTTTTCCCCAGTTCAGGTGGGATGTAGTTTTATTGCAAGTCTCATTAACTCTGCATTAAGGGTTTCAGTGGAGGTTGTTTACACTAGTTGTGGGAATTAATTTTGATAGTTAAAAGCTCTAGTTATATTATTCTTAGTTCTTAGATTATCATGTCAGAACATGACAGAGAGTTTTTCCTGGACATTTGTTTTGGGAATAGAAAAAAAATTAGTTTTTACAATGCTCAGTGTATGGATATTGCTATTTCTTCATTTGGGCTGTTTGTTGTTTTAAGATGGGAGAGTCTCAAGTTTGCAAAATAAATTGCTTTTTTGAAGGGAAAGACGACAAACTTTTCTTTGATGGCCATTAAAGAAGGGAAATGAGGTTTTCGTGTTTCAAAAGATAGAGTGTAAAATTTTGTTTCTCATGCTTTAGTGACTCATTGGTGTGATTCAAGGTAACAGCAGTGCTTTTCAGGATAGGTTTCGACCCACCAGCGGCCGAGCAGTAAAGTTGCTGAGCACTGGTAGTTAGTTCGAGGTTCGAATCCCGCGAATGGGCTGGCTGCATGGATGTTTTTGTGGTTTTTCTCATGTGTAACATGTATATGAGCCAGTTTCTCTTAGAACGTTCTTCATGATGGTATCCCTTCCCCTAGGCACATAGCCCTCGAAATTTTGCCATAATACATAAACGAAACCAAACCAGGATAGGTTTGTGGAAAAAAGGATAAAATTCATTCACTTTCATCCTGTAATATGTAAGCAGGTTGGAAAGCCTGTTTTCATCAGAAGATGCATAGCAGCTGAATTCAAATTTTGGTTTGTTTCTTTAAGAAGAGGCGAAGTTGCCTACTGTGGGCATATGTGCTCAAGCAGGTTAGGCCCTTTGATTTCTCCAGACGAGGTATCTGCACAGAGATTTGGCTGAAATTGAAAGTGAGTAAAAGCAGTAAGGAATTTGAGCCAGTTTCCGTAACCGCAGGCTTGCCTGTGTTGAGCAGTCTAGACCCCTCTCTAGTGGCCATGAGTATCACATTTCTTGGACAGGCTAAGATTTTCAAGTTTGCCTTGCCAGCAGGCCTTTGGTCTGATGTCTAGTGAAGAGAATTGGCTGTAAATTTCAAACTTTGTTCAGTGCAACCCTGTGTCATCGAGGGCACTTTCTGCAAGCTAGCACTTTCAGTAGAGGTAAGTCGTTTCTAAGATATATTTGCTATTGCTGCCTTTCTAGAATTAATTTTGCTTGTTTGAATGGAACAGTGAAAATTTAAGTCCCCACAGTTCACTCATAGTCTAGATCAGAAAAACAATGTGTCTGTTGACAAGAATTTCCTCTGAGGGCAGTCATTTTCATTATAACCCTGTGAATTAGATGCCGTGGAACCTGTCAGTGATTATTTTTGTGTGCAATTCTTTTTATTATTTAATTGTATTAAGTCCTAAGATAACTGATCAGTCATTTTTAATGTTAAATGGCAATCAGAATTTTTTATGTTTAATTGTAAGTATGTTGTAAATTAATAGATAAGTGAAATTATCATGAGAGAAAGTATAACTGAATTAATTATTATAGAAGATTTTATTAAGGAATTTAATAAACTGCTAAATATAAGGAGATGAATTAGTTTTCATATTATCTGAGAGGGCATTTTATATGTCACTCAGTTTAAAATGCAGCTACTTTTAAAAGGTTATTAGGAACTGGCCAGTTATTCCTTCTTTTTTTATTATTTAATCTAAAAACTAATAAATGTGTTACTTGTTAATGCCTGATTGTAATGTTATATTTATTTGGTGGGCTATCCAGTCAACGGAATTTGTTTTACTCAAAGGTTCTCGAAACATGGAGTTATACTTTGGCGTGTTTGTAAAAAACACAGTGTAAACACATGTATTAACTACATTTATTCAGAAGGTTTTCTGAGGATGCTGATGAAATAATATTTGAACTATAAATTTGTTGAATTGTTGTTATTTAATGGAGCTGGTGATTGATTTATGTATCTCTTTTATAGTGTTTTGATGTTGTCTGTTAATGGAAATGAGTTTGTGGCTGTCTGTAAAAAGCTGGGAATTTCAGTATGTTTAGTTGTGGTGGTTTAAAAATACAGTACTTTTTTCTGTGGAAATCAGTGATAATTGGAATTGCATTATTTGTGGAAAACAAAAGTTGTGATTTTATATGAAGGCATCAGAGAAGATTTATGCCTCTCCATTTTTCAAGATATTAATTAAATAAGTTTAAATCTGAACTTGAATTAATTTACCATTAAAGATACGTATGTATTTAATTAATGCGAATTTAGATCAGTCGTATGGTTCCACAAAGATAAGAGTTTTTCCCTTTGTCTGGCACCAGTGTAGAGTAAGTTAAGCTAGTTAACATGAAGTTAAATTTATTTCTTTTCTTTTTTCTATGTAACAAAGTCTTGAAATGTTTTGGCATAAGATACAATTTTATCCAATTTTTACTTTTGTATATGTAGGTTGATTACCCTTTGCCATTTTTCCTGGGAACAATGCCAATGTTTTTGTCATTCTTTGCTGTTGCATTTTTAACACATTATGAAAACTGGGATCCTGTTCTTGTTGGTGTCAACAAACTAGTCAATTTATGTTTTAGGAAAAAACAAAGGTAAGATGTGTGTTTTTTAGATGAATGATTTGGTAAGGCTAATGCCCGTGAATTTTCATTCATATTTTGAATATTTGTTTTAAGTAGAATTAGCCTTTGAGATAACATATTTTTCTTGTATTTACTTAATCCCCTCTTGGGTAATATTTCCATGTGAAAATTGAGGAGAAAATATGTACTCCATATATGAGGGAAGATCTTAAAAAAAGAGCTTAGTAGATTAAAATGCCATTCACTGCATATGTCCCATATTGCACAAAGTTCACAATTATCTTTAAATTCTATTCTGTGTATATCCACATAGTATATTGCTGCTCTATTGTTGAATTGCATGAGTAAATTGCCTTGTTAAGCTTTATAAAATAAACAAAATAATGCTGTTGAAGACATATAGTAATAAGTTTTAAAATGATCTACAAAAATTTTCAGAACTCGTAAAAGATGTGGAAGGCCAAAGTTCAGAAAGCAAATGAAATATTCAGGATGAAATCTTTATTTAAAAGGAGTTAGTTTTGGTTTTCAATGCATTTAATCGGGTAATAAATAATGCTGTTATTATGGGCTATTTGAATTCCATTTACGTTGCCAGTTACGTTAACTCTTTTATGCACTAAAGTGAAGCTTATGCTTCATACTGTATACTTTGTTAAAAAAACTGAAACAGGAGCATTAAACTTTTGCAAGAATAAGAATCTAAAACAAGAAAGTAGCAAAGTTTGCTCTGACTAACCTGGTGTATTTTATAAGCTTAGTTGTTGCTACTTAAAAATGTTTCTCCTCTTTGTGTGTTTGTGTTCATATACCATATCCACATAAGTCCATTTGCAACAGTTGCTCGTAGATCATAAGATACATAAGAATTGAGTGAAAAAATAAAAGTTGTATAATTGAAACGCACTACCCTTCAAAAGTTGTGTATTGACTAGTATATCACTCGTGAATTTTTTCAGGATTTTTCTACTTCATTTTCTACAAGAACCTTATTGTGTGTCTTTTAAATAAAACTAGTATATACTCCAATTTGTGTTAAATCAATTAATATAATGGCTCAAAAAACTTCAAGACTTTCCCCTTTGATGATTTTCTTGATGCTGGATTACATTCTGAATATTTGCTAGGGAAAACAACTACATCTTTAATAAAATCATTCATAATGTAGAAATTATCATCAGACATGACTTTTTAGTTTATCATCTCATTTAGTTTAAGAAAGGTCTGATGACATTTTATGACATCAGACCTTTCTTAGTTTTATATTCACACAATATTATTTACATTTCTAATTTAAAATGATTATAATTTAAACAACAATATCCGATTATAGCCAATTCAAAAAATCCCCCCCAAAACTGGGGTCAAGTTAAAGTACTGAAAAAGAAAAAGTGCTAGTTCTGCAGGCTCAATTCAGTAACTGTTTTTGTCTTATCTTGTTTTTTTAGGTAGACTTCAGTATTGGTGAATTACAGGCTTGTAACATTCTTTGCATTAATGAAAAATACTTCTAGCTTAATATATTTTTTGTGTGATTATTGATTTCACAGTAATAAAAATTTTCAAGAGTATTAATATATGTTAGCATTTGAAGACTTGTAAATTACTTTTATGATTATACTTTTGGCATTCCATTTGTAAAAAAATTATGAAGTAAAGAATGTTACACAGCAGTAAATCTTAAATGAATGTCAGTAAATTGACATTTAAGAGTGAAATCAAGCTCCAGTTATTCTGATTCATTTATTAACCCGCCCTACAAGGCAGGTCGAAAATGACATAAAAAATCCCAAAGTTGGAAATTAAAAGCTTATGTCAATTTTTGTGGTATGCAAAGTGGAATATTTTATGCCTTACTTTTTATGAGCATGCAAATATCCTAAATGTAACTATAGGATCAGGAGACCATATAAAAAGTTGGATTTCTAACTTTTTACAAAATCATTTGTTTTAAATTTGAAAATGTGAAAGCATGAATATTTACACCATGAAAAGCATTTTTGTAATTTGAAATATATGTCTGTATCCAGTATTTGTCAAAATGAAGGCCAAGTTAAGTACTTGGATAACTTGTCTGATTCAGTTCATAATTTCTGTTAATAGTTTCTGAATGGAATGATAGTGTATTTTAACCTACTCATTGTTAAAAATTATTTTTTGTAGGGTACGTGATATAGATTATGAACAGACTGAATCTCTGATCAATGTAAATAGTGAATATACATAACAAAAATACTGCATACATTCTTTAAGGTCATTGATATTGCGTCACAAGAACTTTTTGAACTGGAGCTTTTCATTCTTTTATATCAGAAGTACTTGCAGCTAACAAAATTACTTTTTGTAATGCTCTCCTCTTGTAAAATGTCATTATCATCAAATTTTAAATATGCATAAAAGTATCTAATAACCAAATGTTTTATTTATATTAGTGTATAGTATATGTTTTGAGTTTTTGTAATGTAAGAAATTATGTATCTTGTAAATAAAACATGACAATTTACTCTATTAATGATTTTGTATGCATTTAAGTTTATATTTGTGATAAATTATTTTCATACTAAAATGGTATAAAAAGCTTTAATTTAGGGAAAAAAAATATTTTGTGTGCAGATTTTTCTTATACATCTATGTTTACGAAATGTATTTTAGTGAGGCTTTATAAGTATTTATATTAAAAAAGGACTTGTAATATATAAAAAATGCTCCCAAATATTTTAAAATGTCATCTTACTTAACATATCCTTTCATATTTTGAATTAAATTTCAAATATAAAGAATGGATATCATGTAATTTTGCTTTAGTCTGTGTGTAAATTATTGCTTCTGAAGATCTGTAAAAATGTGATAGAAAATTATATGTTAGACTGATGTTGACAAATTGTGGTATAATAAATTTATATTTCATTTGTGAGTCTTGATTGGTTTTAATGTAAATTTTTTGTCGGGAAACATTTGGGAGAAAAGCATCAGTAATCTGTATGCTTAATTTTTAATAAGAATTTATATAAGTATGCTTGCCTGTAAATTATTTCTTTCTTTGTTTATAACAAACCTCACTATTCATTCTCACCTAATAACACTAAGGATTTATTAGTGATATTATTTATTAGTCAAGATATTATTAGTGAAGATGGACATCTGTTGAATGTTAATCACATAAGTTATTTATCAGTGCGAGCATCTAGTATCTGGATCTTTAAAATTCCTGAAAGCAGAGATTTTTTTTCCTTCCTCTAATCCAATTATGATTCCATATAAACAAAAAATTTTGTTTCCTTTTCATTACTACACTAAAATGCTTTTGAATTAGAAACAGTATAATTTGAACAGACTGGCTGCCATTCTGCAGTTACTACACAGAACCATCCAGCTGCTGTTAAACACTTTTCTAACTAAGATTATTTATCATCAAGCATTGTGTATAAGCATTACTGATCTGTTGCAACTGCAACAAAGTTCATTCTTTGACAGCGAAATATCTTGCTAGTGTATTCGAAATTTTCCTCTTCCATTATCTGTAATGTAAAATAGGTTTCTGTAAAAACCTGCCATGAAGGCATTCCTCCTTTAGCCTTCGAAGGATTTGACATAAATCACTTTCTGCCTGTAAATGAGTATAGAAATCAACTTTGATACCAGGTTAAGAAGATGGTAAGTTCAAACTGAAAATTTATTTAGTTTCAAATGTGTGATGTAAAACAAGGAGAATCCTCCACGAATGCATTTTTCCCTAAGAGAAGCAGTCTTCCAATGCTATAGCATAGTAACGTAGCTTTTTTCAATTCCTTTGTCAGTGTGAATTTGTGTCAATTTCATAATATATTTCAATCGTTATCACTACTCTCATAACAGGAAAATCATTGCTACACTTCTGTATTTTTAAGAATGAAAATATATATTAATAAAACATATTTAATATCAAATATTACAAGTGCCCACATAGACTATTAGAAAATTTCTCAAATCAGCTTCTTGGTAAACAAGACCAATTATAAATTACTTTTTCACTGCAAATATATATATATATACTGGATATTCAAATACTAGCAAAAGGAAATTGTTTTTGAAAGTTAAGTATAAAATTTCTTAGAAAGATTAATAAGTAATAAATATTTACAATACCCCTTAATCACAGACATACATAAAAAAAACTCATGCATCCAACTAATCTGTCCTATCTGTCCTTTCCAAACTCTCAAATTATTTTAATTGTTCTGCGTTCCAGTATTAGGAATCTCACAAAAAGTTAGTTCTGTCATAAAAGCAAATGCTTGTAGGGAGTGTGGATGCAGGCCATATTTGAAATTGACTTTTTAAGTATTGTGTTTCTAGAAATGATAGTTAAATGTACTGTGTACTGAAATTCCTTTTAAGATTTGGAATAAGCAGCACGAGTGGAGAAGAAGAATGCAGGTACTGTCAAACGTGTTTTAAAAGCTATTTACCTACGTGATTTTACAAGACATGACAAGAGAATTGTCATTTTTCCTAGTAACAAGAACAACTTTATAATAAGTATAAGAGGTGCAGCCACACCGAACGGCAAAAAATTTTGGAGGCATCTGGCAGCAGAAAGCATAGTGTTAATCCTGAGCCTCTGTATGATCAGAAGATAAGATAGGCCTTGAAGAAATTAGTCGATTCAGACTGCATCCCTGCCACTGAAAAGTGCAAATGTGGAATCAATGATACAGTTATTATTAAGAATTTTATACATTCTGTAGGTCTCAAGATTTAGAAATTGTCTACTTGAACTGCTTTTGGGTTCTGCATGTTTCCATTCAACAAATTTCTGGCCAAATGGATCAGCTAGTTCCCCTGTTCGTACCATCTACGTTCGTCAGACAACCCTTTGGTAGTACTGTAGGTAACAGCTGAACCTTTTGCAAGCCTAGAGTTAGGGCTTTCGTACTGCTGAAGCTTATAAACTCTGGGCCTAGAGGCTGCCAAATTTTTCTATAATCCTGTTTTTTCCTTTATTAAAGTGAGAAACAATGGGCATCACATTCATCCATCCCTTACTCATATTCAGGAAAATTTTGTAGTACTTAATTAAAACACAAAAAGTTCCATTCTCGTTTAACAAAAGATATTTGGGTGTTAAATTTGGTAATCATTTTTAAGGGTCATACACAATTGAACAGCAAAATGTTATAATTTATACATACATAAACTTTAAATATCATTTAGAAAGTTTTCTGATCATCTGATGGGCTTTTCTATGCAGAATATTGGAATATATATTTTTTTTTAATTGGAGATATTATTTACAAAATCTTATAGAATTTATATGTTATAAAACACTGGCAGGCTTCAGTGATGTCTCAAGTCATATGTGCACAGCTAAAATTTAATATATATACTTTAATGGATTTTTTATGTTTAACAAATTTATTCCAAAATAATAAAACTTCATGAAAATATTAATGGACTTTGAAAGCTTATAAATTAGTGTAAAAATTCTTTCAACATAATGGATGTTATAAATAAGATACTAGTAAATCACACAAGAATATTACCGTATGGTGCTTAAGGGGGGGAAACACCGCCTCATATTATTCTAATTTATTTATTAATGGACCCCTCAATGTAAATTTTGAAATTTGGTAATTTTTTATCTAAAGAGTCGAATTTTTTGTATTTTTTATAGCAATATTTTCCTGAAGATAAATACAAGGACTGGAGAAAATTGCAAAAAGTTAGATTTCATGATTTATAAAATATTTAAATGTAAAACTACAAAACATGATCTTTGCATCATTTAAAATATTTTTGTAATTGGAAGTATATATCTATTCCCAGTGGTTGGAAAAATAATGCCCAGGTAAGAACTTCTATGGATAGGGTTTATAATACCTCAAATAAGTGTTTTTATTGCATGTATATATTCATCGCAATGCTTGATAACTAAATTATGCAAGTGCTACTCGAAGTAAAAATATTCCTTTTTTTATTTATTTGCAAGCGAAATCAATACACCTTTTCATGCTACTTCATACTATGTATTTTCTTCGAAATATTGCAGTTTACTGCAAGTTTCAGAAAATATACTGAAGGTGAAACTGTTTAAAAATGTGCCTTACCTTCCATAAGGTCACGTAAAAGCCTTATGGATAAGAGCACGAGTTAATACAATAAATCAGATTTATGCATTCTCAGTGGATCTATTTCTCTACAGGCAAATAGATACAATTAGATAAAGAGATTAATTATGTAGATACCCCTGTAGTACATTTGTGGTGGGCAGGAAGTTTGTATGAGAAATTTAAAAATATATAAATGTTTGTATGAGAAATTTAAAAATATATAAATGTTACATTTACACTTCTTTTATTCAAAGAATTTCAGCTTGCTACTTAGTAAATTTGAAATTTTTCTGCATAAATTTAATCTTTGCAATTACTTGGTAATTTAGTTATGCATGAAAGTATAAATTAGTAAATGCATACAACATACAATGATAGTTTATTCACATTGAAATGCATGACATTATCTGAATATTCAAGCTTTATATATAAAGTTTGTTTCCAAATTTAAAACATTAATATTATAAACTCATAACCAATAAAGGTTTCATCCAAAAAAAAAAAAAAAAAAAAAAAAAAAAAAAAAAAACACTATATTAAAACATTTACAAAAAAAGAAAAGACTAGATCCAAGACCGTAGAGTTTCATCACTAACTTCTATCAAAGATCAAGCCTTGCTGTTCTAAAATTATGGAATGTTAACATCACAGATAGGAAGGACTTATAATGAGACTTAAGAACAACTGTGTATGAACAGGAACAATTAAATACAAAGAGAAACTGATGTTGCTTTCAGTCTCAAGTTTTCAGTATTTTTGTTCATGCCTCTCTTGAAGGCATCTTGATTTTTCACATTGTTCGTGAAATCCTCAGATGAAATTCTTGATGAGGTTTTACGATTTCTACACTGCATTAAAAGTTTTCATAAAATACAAATTGAAGTCGTTTTAGTATTAGAGATTCAAGGCTATGCAGTTCACTGCCTTATCATTCCATTAATCATGATGTTAGCTAAAGCATTCCTTCTTTTTCTCCATGTGCCAAGATCTTTGGCATGGTACCTTAACTGACGTAGCCATTCCTTTGTTTCTTTCCTTGTTTCTCCCTGCCAAGAAAATTAAATCACTTAGAAAAAAAACATCATTTTAAAGGAAGATTTTATATATTGATTTTGTAATTACAGGTAATATGGCACAAACATTCTATATAACGCTTTAGTTTTCATTGCCTTATAATCAAAATTCAATTTTTAATATAATATAAGGACAAAAATTTCTCTCACTTTTAATAAATAGGCTTCCTTTGTCGTGTACTCTTGAATTTCAAATACATCATCTGTTTCAGAGTCACAACTTATTACACAATTTCCTAGGTACAAAGGTTCCTAAAAAGTGAATTTTATCATTTACCGAGATGAATTTTCGTTATAAAAGATCAAACTAATTTTTCGTAACATGAAATAAAAGGAAAATAATATAGTAATGGCATTTAATTTACAAGTATTACCAAGTGCTTGTTAATATGCAAAACAATACTGATTCTTGAGTAAAATTTTAGATTATATGGCGATTTCTACTGCTTTTTATTGATTTTTTTTAACAGTAATAATGCACTCGAGCTGAACTTTTCGCACATTGTTGATGATTGGGGTCTAATATTGAGCTATTTTTATAAACATGAAAATTCCAGTTCTGGTGTTAATGTTAAAAGACATCTTGCGCTACAGATATATCCGCAACTACGCTTATTTTCTTTATTTTAAGTAAAAATTAATAATACAGATCTCCGTGAAACCGGACTACCTCTGTCAAATCCTCTCGAATTGCTTTGAGTTTCTCGAAAATTAATGCCAAATTTTGTTAAATTTTTAAGTCACTCTTCTCTTTGTATCCATTGTAATGCCATTGCAATAAATTAAAAAAAAAACAACAGCTGGCAAATTACAGTGGCGATATTCACAGGGATTTAATCTCCAACAGAACCTATATATATTTCTAGATGTAATTTTGCTTAATATATATTACATATTAGTTTTGAGTCTGTTACGGTTTTGAACTCGAATTTTTTATAAAATATGTGCTTTGGACATTTATAGAGCCTTGTTCTGAAACCAGTATTATTGATAAATCAATATACGAAATGCGGCTCAAAGGACACTTTTACACAGATTTATGCTACAGGCAGATGTGCTGAGTTATATCTAAAGGGATTATTCATAATAATCAATTATTCAAAGATTTGTAAATACAGATTTCATTAACTTTTATTCGTACTTGTCAAAAAATAAGTGAGTAGCTATTTTTCATAATTGCTAACTAATTTGAAATGTACAATAAATTACTAAATATGCATGAGCTAACTTACTCAAAGATTTGAAGATACAGATTTGATTAACTTTTATTCGTACTTGTCAAGAAATAAATCAGTTACGAATTTTTGCGCTAAGAATAATCTTTTTTTTTTTTTTTCGGGAATAATTATGTGAACAGCTATTTTTCACTTGCTCATTGGTTAATCGGATTTTTTTCTTATTAATTGAAAATTAATAAAAAGTATCCGATTGACTGATGAGCGTATACAATCTGTGCTGAAGATAATTTGTACTAATTTCTCTCCAAGGCTGCAAACTTTATCAAAATCGAAATACTGTCAAGTGTCAAGCTGCAGTAAGAAATAAAAGAAGTTTGTAATTATTTTACATACAAACATGACTATTGTAATTTAGAGGTCAAACAACAAAAATCAGCGTTATATTTTCAAATTTTCACAGGACTAGTTTTGATGGTTTTACTGAACCATCATCCTCAAACCACGTGGAAAATAAGAAAGCACAAAATAAGCCTGTTCAGAGCTTCTATAATTAAGATACAATAACACGTGGAACAAATTGTTCGTATTGTATCTTAATGTGTATTGTATTTATACGTCGTCGAAGAAACGTTTTTACACTGAAGAGACTAGTATGCGAAATTAAAAATTTATTTAAAATGTTTATTTTGTTTCATTTGTAATTTTTTTTTTTTTTTTTTTTTTTTTTTTTTTAATTTCTGGCCCGCTAGCTGTTTTCAGATTGTGTAAGCGACCCCTGAGCAATTTGAGACGCCTTAATTACAGGATTTGACCAATGGACCTAGGAATGAGAAATTGTGTCTATCTAAGAAGGAGAAAGATTTAAAGAGAAAAAATTAGAACAAAACTGAAGCCACTTCAATTTACATTGAATAAAATGTTTAATAAAGCAAACAAATAAATACAAAGCCATTTTTGTCAATTTAGTTCCCTTAAGATCATAAATGCTTCATTATTTCCTAGAGCATTGTTTCATATTTTTAATTTTAGGATTTCTACATGCCATTTTACTAGGTTTTAACCTGATCATCTAATATCCGGAAAAATCCCAAAACCGGAATCGTCACAGTCCAAACGAGTTCGAATTTCACTCTGTAAAATTAAATTATTTAAAGGAATGAACCAAAACTCAAATTGAAGAAAAACTATGATGGTTTTTTTCTTAAAGAAATCACCTGGAAAAGTGACGGAAAATTTGTTAATTAAAAAAATAATAAAAAAAAAAAAAAAAAAAAAAAGACTAATTTTATTATAAGTGACAGTGAGGTATTTGGTGAAATATGCTATAAAAAGCAATACGTCAATTTGAATAATAAAAGTTTCCCAAAATCAGAGAATAGATTCTGAAAGCATATTTAATGGATAAAAAGCAAGATGAATTTTAGAAACACATCGCCAAGTTAAAAATATATTTGATATTGGAAATTTTTTTTTTACCAGCGAACGTGATAGTCGTGAAGAAATTTTTTCATTAATTGAAGAAATTTTTTCATTCATTAATTGAAGAAATTTTTTCATTCATTAATTGAAGAAATTTTTTCATTTATTTATTTAATACAAAAAAGCACACTAATTTTATTGTTTCGGAGAGAATTTTCGACCTCAGACTAAAGAGACTCAAACTGTAAATAAAGCTTCTTGAAACAAAAATCATTTGGATGCCCTGCGAATGATATAACGAATCTCTTAAAGCTTATAGCTCAACGAGTGGGGAATTTTTCTTCTAAGAGATGAATTTCACGTGGTAAACCTCAAATTCTATCTCAAATTGAAGACACTGAAATTGGGGGAGGGGGGGGAATGGCATGTAGAGTGAGTGCTTAGATTATTTCAAAGCGTGAAAAATGTGCAATACTCTCGCCGAGACTCGAACACGCGTTGGGTGTGCTTCCAGTTACAACCACGAAGGTAAGGAGAAAATACCTTATAGGCATATAGTAAAAAAACAGCTAAGGTATGATTCAAATCATGTGATCCGTAAGAACTGAAAAATATTAGTGAATCAAAGTCAATAGAAATGTTTCATTAATTATGTATATATAATAGCAAATTTTTTACCGATGGAAGGGTAAAAGTTACTTATGGGGTGCAAATTGGTGGTTTTTGCATCTTTTTTATTTAATAAAGATTCCCAAACTATCGATATATATCGTAAATAGGTAAATGTTATGAACATAGGAAAAGAAAACATACTTTAGCAATTTAAAATACAAATTTGCATTATTGAATAATGATTACGTAATGCATTAAAAAATAAAACCTTTTCGTTCTTCGAATCTTTCTGTAATTTTTTTTTTCGCTGTTCTCCCGAAGTACATAGCGATCTGTTTTTGCTTAAAAAAAATATCAGACAATTGCAGAGAATCAGGTTCGAGCAACCCCCGGCAACAGCGACTATCGAGAAGGCGCATTTCCTCGTTGTTCCGTTTGGAAAATTTTCAGCAAAATTCGGCATTCTTGTAGAAATTTTATCCCAGTTTCTTCCAATGCTGGCAAATTCCACAAGCTCATATTTTAAAACTAAGGCATAAGTTATCGCATTGTTTGCAAAAACCGCTGGAATTTGACATACTACAAGAAAAATGAAAGCATACGAAAAAGGGTGACGTTGCTTGGAAGGATTGTTATGAGCATGGTTGCCGGAGTTTGACGCATTCTGAAAATTTGGCGACTTTGCGGTGGTTGCGTTAACACGTTAAGTACCAAAATTTTATAGTTGTATTTCTAATAAATTTTTAAACTTTTCAAGGAACTGTTATATCCTTGTGTTTCGTATTGTTTGTCAACAGTCTTGATCAACTGTATTTTCAATTTCGTAGAACTGTTGGTAGTTTTTTTGATATCCCCCTTTCAGTTCAACAGTTCTTACAGTTAGCAGTGCTTTTCTCGATTCAGCTGAGTTTGGCAATATAGTCACTTTACTCCGCATTCCACTGCCAGTTTCAGTTTCTTCAGCTCTTTTAACACAGTTTGTAATATCGTAGTCAGTGTTTTCACATTCTGTCTCAATATTATCAACTGGAACATATTCTAAAAACAAATCTTCATCATTTCCTTCACTTAAGCCCGAAATATTACAATTAGCTTGTAATTCTTCGGTGGTTGCCTCTAAAAACCACATTTTTTAAAACAGTTTCTGTGTTTTGGGAGACTACTACTCAGGCGTTGACAAATGCATAGAAGCTAGCAAAGATATCGACTTATCTCCTTCGAAGTGTATTCATTTTCACAAGGCATAATTTTATCTTTTTCTGAGTGACACATTTTCTGTAGTGACATTTGAAAGCTTTTATAATACCTTGGTCTAAAGGCTAAATGATAGAAGTCTTATTTGTAGAAAGAAACGTTGTTTTTTTAGAATATCAGAGTTTGCTGCACAGTTACGCTAACACTAAAGCTATTTTTCGTTTTTCAGTTCTCTCTCCCATTTCAAAAGAAAATACTGCTTCTCATCCACAAGATCTTGTTATTATGGTAAGCTAAAGGTAAATTCTTGACTCCTTTTAAATATCGAGTGATGATGTCTTCTGTTGCATCCATCTGATCCACCAAATCTGATCACAAGTTCTACTACACTGGCCAAAATTAAGGACCTGCAGATAAATTTTATCAGCCACAAACAGTTTATTCTGGATCTGAAGAATCAATCCTTTTGCCAATTTGATTTTTACAAGCGGCGGCTATGAGCTTAATATGGATAAATTAATGAACTAATCTGAAGAATCAATCTGTTACGAATTTTGTACTTAGATAGGTAATTTTAGTGGAATTATAAGCAAAATTGTTGTATTTCTTTTGTAACATGAAAAAAATCTAAAAAGAAGCTATGCCGGAAAAGTAATAATGCAGGAGCAAGTACATTTAACATTGAGTAAATGGGCATCTCAGTAATTTGGCGAGATATCGCCAAGCTGACAACGATTTTTGCGACTTTCGTTGTCGCCAAATTTGGCTAAAAATCGCCAAAGTCGGCAACTTGGTGACCATTTGGCTACATTTGGCTCTGCTCCCTGTATCACCATAATATGTATTGAAATTCAATAAATATAATTGATCACTATGTTAGCTGTAACCGTAATTCCACCCTCGTATTGCTTTCCAGTAATTTCGAGTAGTAGAAAGTAGTAGAAAAATATCGGCGGCCGGTTGAAAACAATTTAAGACCGAAGAGAGAGCATCTGCTCACAGCTGCTTAGTTATTGTCGTTGTGAGTTGTTAGTTCCGCGTGAACTGAGATACAGATGCTTTTTGTATTGCATTGTATTTAACGTTCTTAGTAGTTTGAAGTGCAACTATTGATTGTACTCTGTAATACTGTGAACACCTGTCCTAGAATTTCTGTAGAAAATTCCAGAACTCTGAAGTGTTTCTTTTGATAAAAAATAAATGTTATTAACCTATAATCGGACCTCTGTGCATTCATTCTATTAGGAACCCGTACGAACGCAACACCGTTTTATTGAAATTCTACATAATAGATAAATAAAGATAAATGAATGAACTGCAGATAAATTTTATCAGCCACAAACAGTTTATTCTGGATCTGAAGAATCAATCTTTTGCCAATTTGATTTTTATAAACGGCGGAAATGAGTTTAGTAAACGGCGATTTTTTTCTGTTGATTAATATATATTTGAAAATGTGAACGTAACAAGCGGCTGAGTTTATTAACCAGCGGAATCATTGTAGCGAGTTTTCCAGAAATATTCCGTCCATTCCAAGACATACCTAGTCCCTCTCTTAGATATAAGAGCCCTTTATGATTCTAGTGTTAATTCTGGCCTAGGATGATTACTTAGCCTTAAGTAGCCAGAAAGTTTCGAGAATTTCTAGATATATTTTGATGCGACAGTTCTTGTGCTTTGTAATTATAGAGCTGTATGTTCCTTGCTGTTCCTCGAGATTAATGTTAGCCACTGCATTAAATTAGCTCTCCCGAGCTGTTTGTTGCTTGTGACGGATTTTATATGTATTTCATGGACACAAAAAAGTTCACTCTTCTTGTTGAGCTGGAACGAAAACACACAGGTGAAAACAATGTATTAACATTAACTTTGTTGAAAATATGGCATGCATTTTGAATTCCATACGATGTCATGAAATCAAAGACTTCCAATCTAAGAAGAAAGCTGCGGATTTCCCCGTCTTGCAAATGCCCATTTTTCTGTCCGAGTTTAATAACAGATAATTAATCTAGATATATCTTTTCGCGGCGGGGGGGGGCAAAATAAAAGATACTTACTCTAACAACAATGAAACGTCCATTCTTTTCTTTCATAAGTACAAGACTGGCATCTCTAATCCCCGTATTTCTTGGAAACAAAACAGCGTTCTCCGTTGACGAACTCTCTGGTCTATAGTTGGAATTTGGTTTTCCCAGCGCTATTAGAAGTGCGTGGAGTGGGGTAAATTTCACAGTCTTACCCTTTTTATTCCAAGGATAATCTGTGATTTGCGTGAAGAGTAATTTACCAGCCATAACAAACCGTGTTTCGTCTTGTTTCCAATTTAGGACCTCCAATGCCATCTGTAATACAGAAAAAAATTGTTAATTATAATGTACAGTAAGACCCCGCTTAACGCGGGGGATACGTTCCATCAAAGTAGAGCGTAATGCGAAACAGCGCTAAACGAGGCTATCTTTACATGTAAATATTGGGGTTAGGAAAGATGGCTAGGAAATTAGTTAGGTATTAAATTTAAAAAGTATGTTTTTTTAATAAAAATAAAACCAAACATGTATTTCTCAAAGCCCAAATTAATACCACATTATTATTTCTTGCAAAAATAAAAACAAAAATATAAATAACAAACGAATATTCTTAAAAAAAAAAAACAAATAAAATTCTAAGTCAGTCATATTTAGTTAGCCTTCCGCGTTTTCAGTGTTCTCTGCCTTTTTGTGACAAAAGCATCTAATGTTGTTTGCCTTTTTCTTTTGCGTTGTTCTCTTAAAAGTTCTTCATAAACGGATAGACCATCTCTAACACCACGCCTTACTTTTGAGCTCCTGTCAAAATTCGGTTTATTTTCAATGAATTGATCCATTATTTCAGTTATGGTAGACAAACTCCTTTTTACAAACGCCATCGAAAGTTCTTTTTGCTCTTCTTCTGAATCGCTGCTGTCAACATTTTTGTTTTCTTCTTGTTAATTCCTTGAGCTCATCATTAGAAAGACTAGCCGCTGCTTCTTGAATTATTTCTTCGACATCTTCCACATTTACCCCTTCAAAATATGTCTGTACAATACCGCACCAAACAAGAAATACAAGTACACTCTTTCGGATATGTATTTGAAACCTATCGCTGCATAATATTTCGGGGAATCCCCGTATGCTGCGAGCGATTTCGTGGAATCGCCGGGTTGAAATAAAAGAGCGCTAAACCGAAACAGCGCTAAACGAAACAGCGTTAAGCGGGGTCTTACTGTATATGAAACAAAATCTTTTCAATGTCTCGGAAAAAAAAAGTGACTGCCGAAGAAAATTTTGTAGTTTATATGGCCTATTTTACAAGCAGTTTAAGGAATTGTAAAATATTGATCATTAAAGTCACCTTAAACTCGATGAAGCACTGCGTTAAATCTTCACATATAGAAGCAATATTTACGATGAAACTATTTTAACATGTCGACGGATGGAATTTCGATCCAAAGCTAGCATTATGCTAGATCAAATTTACTGTTAATTTAGTTTTGCAGTTTGCCCGTTTTCCTACAAACGATGATTTGTAGATACTTTATTTTTTTTTACCACGATATTTTCGACGACGTTTTTAAGTTGCGAAGTTTTTGTACCACTTTATTTTCGACCACGATGTTTTAGAACTGTGACGTTTTCTCTTTGCTTTATTTTCTCAACCGATGTTTTGTACCACGACGTTTTCGTCTGTGATGCTTTTGCCGCGATCTTTCCGGCTGTAACCATTTGATAGATAGCTAGTGCGCTATGACGAGTGTGTGCAGTTCTTTGATGTTTCTGAGTAAGAACAGATGTGTACATCAGGAAAACAGAACAAAAAATTACAGAAAGTTTTCAAGAAAAGTGTGTTTTATTTTTTAATGTATCGTATCATCCTTATTGAAAGTTTAAATTTATGTTCTAAATTGCTAAAGTGTGTTTTACGATAAATTTCGATATTATTAAACTTATTCTCTTTTAAAGTTGTTAATATTGATAAGGCCTTGCATGAAAAATTACACACAGCAGAAATCGTAATTCATATAATAAAGACAATATAGATAATAAGGACTAATAAAGACAATATAGATAATAAGGACTAATAAAGGCAAAATATATAAAACAACATGTTGCACCTCAAAATTCATATTTTCAAAAAGCCAAAATTAATAATTGAGGAGTTATATACGATAATCATTCTTTGTAAAAATTGGAATAAAAAGTTTAAAAATATCAATATTTAAAATTTAAAAGTCTCAAGGTATTTAATTTAAAGATTCCGACCTCTGTGGTTTCTGCAATGTACACTGCTCAAAAAAAAAAAAAAAAAAAAATGGGACAGTCCTATATCTCTCGATCTACTGGGCCGATTGACAAAATTCAAATTGCGTTCTTCATGTTTCGAAAGCGCGACTTAGGATATATATTAGATTTATATATAGCACTATTCTAACATAGGTATTTTGACACAAAATCGGACTTTTTCTGAAGTAACATACCAATTATTTTACATATTTCGATTCTACGACTCAATTACGCCTAAATATGAAATTTTGTAAAATTTGGAGCGAAATTTACGGAGAAATTCACACAATTTATGTTGGCACTTTTTTGTCAGTTTGCGCCAAGAATACTTCACTTGGCGAACTTCTTAATATATTGCAACCTAGTTTTCCTTAGAAAAAAAAAGTCACCATCGTTCCTTTTTTCCAAATAATATTCTTTATATTATATTTTTTTATTATAACTTATTATTTTAAGTAATTTTTTTCTTTTCGAATTTCATTTTAATTGTTTAAGTTGCACGTTTTTTTTTTTTTTTTTTTTTTTTTTTTTTTTTTTTTTCGAATAACTGTTTTAAAAATTTCTATTTACCTATTCGAACTGCGTAAATAAAGGTGCAGCGTTTATTTTTTTTTTTTTCAAATAGTTTTCTTTATATATATATTTTTCGTCATAGTTATTATTTTAGGTCAATTTTTTTTTTTAAATTTTTATACTTTTATTTTAATTGTTTGTGTTGCATTGTCTCTTCAGATAATTGTTTTAAAATTTTCTATTCATTCCTTCGAACTGAGCATTTTAAATATATTTATTAATATCAATTTTCCAGAATTTGACTTTATTTTATTTGAACTGCGTTTTTTTCGGAAGAATACTTTGTAACCCCAGACTACGATGCGTTTGAAAACTGCATACTATATTAAAAGAGAAATACAGTAAAGCACAGTTTTACACGCCTTTCAATGTTCCGTTTCAGAAAAAATATATATAAATAAGAGAGATGTATAACCGATATTTTAACTTAGGATGACTTGCATACACTGCTTTAAAACAGTTTTATATCATTGTGCCCATTGCTTTTACACAAATTTTATCCTACATTTGGTTTCTTAAAATGTTATTCATATTTTAGTCAAATATTTTTATTTTGAAATCGCAAGAATCAAATATCATAAGATTGAAAAGTTTTAAATTAAAAAAAATACGAATACTAAATTTTACGAAAAAATTTATTTTTCTTCTCTGTTTCTTTTAAGCATTCTGAAAGCATAAAGTATATTGAAAAGTATCCAACTTTTTCGAAACATTTTGGGTATTTCTGACAATCATTTTAAATAAATTAATCGTTATCGCCTTCCATTTCATAAAGGCCCACAAACGGCCGAGCGGTAAAGTTTCTGAACACTGGTAGTTCACTCCGGGGTTCGAACCCCGGTAAACGGGCTGGTTGCATGGGCGTTTCCGTGGATTTTCTCATGTGTACCGCGTATGACAGCTGGTTTCTTTTAGAAAGTTCTTCACGAAGTATTTCGTCAGAGCCTTTATCAGTCTTTAGAGGCTAAACATTTTGAAGCTGTGAGATGAAAGGAAAGACTGGTTTCATCAAAAGGTTTTGGTTTATTTTATTATGACAAAGCACACCACGGCTATCTGCCTAAGGGGAAGGATGCCTTCCTGGAGGACTTTCTAAGGGAAACTGTCTCGCATACACGTTACACATGGGGAAAACCACGAAAACGCCCATGCAGCCAGCCCGTTCGCGGGATTCGAACCTCGGACCGAACTACCAGTGTTCAGCGACTTTACCGCTCGGCCGCTGTTTCATCAGGAAGGGAAAAAAAAACATCTTTAAGTGACATCCACATACCATCACTGGATAAGCTCCTGAATCTTCAAATAATTCGACTGAGGAAATCATGGGATTCACCATTTATGATACGATATGATGTTCTATAACGTAATTTACACAGCCATATAGTTTAAAACCAGTCGCTCTTCACTTTAATCTGCAATGATATCGTTTTGTCTTTTCTGTTAACACAAGCTCAATTAATGGTATTTGCTGGTGTACTCGTCCAAGTGTTTTCTCTTTGAACACCTAAATTCTTGAAGTATCCTGAAAGTATATTCGAAAGCGTCCAATTTTTCCAACTTTTTGAACATCTTGGTACGTCTGACAGCCAAATTTTCCCTGCAAATTTTTGCTTACTTTTTCTCCTAATTTTCTTCTTTCCTTCTACAGTTTTATTTCACAGTGCTCACACAAGAAAATTAAGATTTTTCGACTGCTAGACTTCCATACATTTTGCATTCTTGTCAATTTTTTAAAAAATATCAATTATATGAATTGCGTTTCAGCTAAAGACAAACAAGCTTTTCATTTTCTAGTCATTTTAGCTATAAATAAAGTTTAAAGCGAAGTCCAAAGGATAATATTTTAATTAAAAATTTTTGCTAAATGACAAAGAAATAAAACAGCCCCAACAGTGGTTTATTCTGTACCACAGAGTAACCCGATTCTTATATCGGCTGAAACAATCTAAATCATATTAAAGATCATGTTTTTTTTATACAATCTATAACGCGAGAGAAAATTAGCTTCTTAAAACATGCTTTCTAAGAGAATTAATATAAAAATTTATATTTATATATATATTTTTTAAAGTTGGGACTTGAACCAAACTGTCAGACTTTTAAAGCTTATTTTACATGGTGGTTATTATTAAAGTTCCACTTTGAAATGGTCATAAAAGGAAAACTACCGGACCAAATGGTTATCAAACATGGGAATCGTGTAAAAGAGGTTATGGGAATTTATTTTCCGCGGGAAAATAGAGTTCTAAAACTCACCACCAGGGGAAAAATGGCGCTGTATGCAATATTGTTAAATGAAATAAGACATGAAAACATCGGTTTAAAATGTGTTTAATTGTTTCCGAAACGTGTTTTACAAAGCATGTTTCAATGTAGCGTCCAGCATTTTTCCGAAAGCAAGTTAAATCATGTTACTGCATTCTCAACACAGCTGTTAGCATATCAGGTTTGGTTTTGGTTTGGTTTAT